AAAAGCTGTACGATTTTTGTACGTTATCACTCTCTGTTATGAATGTAATAATACTGTGGGAATGTCAATTGTGTATCAAAACAAGGAAATCCGGACTCCTGGTAAGGCTCAGCCGTCGGCTTCCCGTGTTGGATACACTCTCACACTTTCATGGCTCTGGAGTTCTCACGTCCAACATTATATTATTACTGTGTGCACATTAATTTTGTTAAGGATCTACGCTATGGGTTATAAAAATTACACATCAACAATGCTTTCAATTTGGTATGGTCGCAAGAGTGCAGATTATTATTATAAGTACTGTAATACCGTAGTAGTAGTAGTACACTCTTGAGAAACAGTCACTTAGTAGGAATTACGCAGCTTCTGAAGAATGGCAGGTAAACTGGGTTTTAACTGAGAGAAGGATGGCAGCTGTTAACTCCTGGATTAAAACTCCTTGACCAACGGGAAGACACTTCCCCATCCATGAAGGGATGGGGGGAAAGTGCCCTTAGTAAACGGCAAACTTTCCCTTGGGAGTAACTTGATCACCTATTCCCCAGGCAGTATATGCTTCCTATGGATATAATTATTAACTAATACAGTTTACATTAGGCAAAGGTGTTGATGCTAAACTTAACAAGCTGCTGACAATTTGAGTTATCATGGGAATCCCTACTGCTCCAGACACTACCTTCTCCTGCAAGAAACCGGAAGACGAAATTGTCCTCCCACAATTACGTCAATGCTTATCATAACCCGGATCTTAGGAACCCAGGCTACTTTTGTCAAAACACCCAAATTAATTTTCTTGTTTTGACAAAATTTGTCGGAGAGATCATGGATGTGAGAGTAACGTGAGTTTCTCTCACTGACCAGACGGAGGGTCGATCCTTCAACATTGCGTGCGCTGAATAACAATCATTGGCTTAGCACTTCGCATAACAAAGATAACAATTATTAATAATAAATAAAGTATAATTCACAATAGAGTTAGAGGAATGGCAACCAAGAGCAAAGTTGCGTTATAACGCTTGAAGGAGAGTGGAAGAGTTGCATTGATATTAGTAAGAAACTCCCAAGCTTAGGAAATGGAACTATATTCCCATTCTTTTGATCAAACCTGATTAACTCCCATTCCCCGGAGGCTGTATAATTTTTGTGGGTTTATATATTTCCCATAAAAATCAAAACACTTTTATGATGCTAAATTAGTCAAAAGATTTACAAGAATCTTGAGTTTTTATCTAGCGTTTACTTATATAAAATGTGCTTTAATTAAAAAACTAATATCCGTGCATATTGTATATATACCTTCAAGTGTATATATATGGATTTCAACACACATCTCTGTGTATATACACACTTGTATACCTCAGTGCATTTAGAGACATCTCTGTATATATGCGCATCTCTGTTTATACTGCGAGAGAGAAAGAAAATTTTCGGTGTAATCTATATACATATATCAAACTGACAGACGTCATGGGAAAAAAAATACTACAGGTGTAGTAAGAGGACGGGTTATGTATCACAACCGTTTGTTATTGGTCGTCACCGTCTCTGAGATGAGCGGTAGTGAGGCGTTCGACATATTTGTCACCATTTACCTGGCAGAGAACACACTCAACAACAGCAATACAACGGTTCTCTGAAAAATTTCCTGACCCACTCTTGAGCAACACCTGACAGCAAAAGTGTGTGTGTGTGTGTGTGTGTGTGTGTGTGTGTGTGTGTGTGTGTGTGTGTGTGTGTGTGTGTGTGTGTGTGTGTGTGTGTGTGTGTGTGAACATGTCATCCATCATACTGTAAGATCTCTCACACTTAACTTTCCAAACGCGAGCAATTCGACGTTGCCTCTGGCAATGTAGAGTTTCCTAAGTTAAATCCAAATAATGTGCGATTACTGTATGCCTAAAACAGTTATGTGCCCATATAAATAAGCTTTTATTTAGGTTATGATCAGACCCTGATCCATCATGAAGCCTGGTCTCACACCGGGCCGCGGGGGCGTTGACCCCCGAAACTCTCTCCAGGTAAACTCCAGGTAAACCTAACAAAAATCCCACTGTACTTTTTATGTACAACCCGTGAAATTTTTCGAGAGTAACCCAGTGGCATCACTGAGGTTGTTTTATTTCCAGTGAACCAGTTTACTGCTTCTCTTGCTACAAACTTCAAATTCTAACGAAAACTTGTCGGTGTTTGGATAAACTCATGGCAAACAAACACGAAATGTCTATAATTAGAGAGATTTTTTTTGACACAAAATGCCATTACGCAAAATTACGGAACACATGTAAACAAAAGATAATCTCGTTGTTAAGTCTTGGCTGTACTACACTGTTCTTTCGTTAAGTTGTATTGATAGTTATTACATGTATAATTATACCTTCTCACATCCAGTTGAACTGAATCTAAATGTTATATAAGCGATATGAAGATGGTTAATATGTGATAAATGGTTTAAAACCGACAAGTTGAAGATTGAGACACTTATACAACATATGGGAATCTTTATGAAGAAACGTTTCGCCACACTGTGGCTTCATCAGTCCAATACAAAGCAGAAAGGTGCAAGGAGAGGAGTTTGAGGTAATCAGTTCCTCAGCCTGGAATCGATGTGTTCAGTCTTGTAGAAAGTGCAACATATGGCCGGAGAAGTGACTTATATACTGTCAGACACTGCAACATTATGGGATCTTGATACAAGGAATTCTTCCATACTTGTCCAACTTTTGGACGAAGACCTACTTACACTAGTGGATAGTTCCACTGTGATCCCGCCTCCTCCTGCTTCCACTCACCTGACTACAGTATAAAGCTGCTTCTCCGACCATATTCTGTACTTTCTACAAGATTGATGGACTGAACACATTAATTCCAGGCTGAGGGACTGATTTCCTCAAACTCCTCCTCTCCTTACACCTTTCTGCTTTGTATTGGACTGATGAAGCCACTGTGTGGCGAAACGTTTCTTCAGTAAAGGTTCCCATATGTTGTATAAGTGTCTCAATCTTCAACGTGGCTAATATGAAAGACCGAGACACAACTTGAGCGGAATTTCTTACGCATTTGTGTATTTTCCCACAACCGTGTAATCATATATTTCCAGTTTGTATATATATAGTATACACAATGAAAACCTAAATTTCCTTTAAATATTCTTTTCAAGGGGAGCACCCTGACGCAAGTGGAGGTCTCTTCATCAAAGGAACTGGATCTATCCACTCCTTCCTTGATTCGATCCCGATTATCTCTCCCTTCGCAGGTGTATGACTCTTAAGGCTTTCATGCTTTCGCTTGAATATAACAGCTGTGGCTGGTAAAGGGTGTATCAAGTGGGGGGATATGTCAACACCATCAGGCACATGAGAGATACATATCGTTATTTTTAAGGAGAAGTCAAAATGGGAAGCTGCTTTTCTGTCACTCACACCTTCCAGGGAGGGATAATGAAGACGGTGAGGGGGTCCTTGATTCATGGAACCAGACAATGACGGCGATGAGGGGTCCTTGATTCATGGAACCAGACAATGACGGCGATGAGGGGTCCTTGATTCATGGAACCAGACAATGACGGCGATGAGGGGTCCTTGATTCATGGAACCAGACTTATCTTACCCTTGGATGGAACCTTGACTACCTCCCTAGGCTCTGTATAATCCCTACGGATTAAGCGCTTCCCACTGATTAAAAATAAAATCCTGCCACTCACAAGAAGTGTGTTAATACAAGACTGCTAAACATTCCATAGCAAAATCATATGTTTTCGTAAAGCTTAAACATTTGTTCGCTTAAGTTAACATTTAAGTAACGGGTAAACATTTCTTCCTATATATAAATATTTGTTATGGTAAGAATGCAATAATTATATTGGTCCTCTGCCACGTTTTAAGTCAGGAAGTCAATATTATTCAAGCTTTTAGATGCTGCTTTTAGGTCTCTAGAGGTTAGACTACTGACGAAGATAACTGTATACCTGGAGAGAGTTCCGGGGGTCAACGCCCCCGCGGCCCGGTCTGTGACCAGGCTTCATGGTGGATCAGGGCCTGATCATTGCAAAATAATTTCTCACAGGAATTCCAAAGGATTATATATACAAAAGGAGTTAGTTTAATATGTGTATTATGCACCCCATACCCATCCTGTGGGCGGTAGTCAAAAAGATTACAGAGGTACATAATGGGCCCAGGGGCTGGGTACAAGTTATATGTGATTTTCACAAAGAATAAACGGTTCCATGTAATCGAGAAATAATTCGTAACACATTACTTGAAATTTCGTATATATATATCTAACCAAAACTGGTGAAAATAGATTTGAAAGATGTCTGTAAACTGCAAATGGAGTCTGGCCGACATTCCTGTCCTTGACAGATCTATATTTATCACGACCTTTCCAGGAGGAGGGTTCCTTGATACTAGTGAAGGGTTCTTGATTCAGTGCATTATAGCCGCTCTCCCCTTTCGTGGATCATACTTGTTTCCCTCCCATTTCCCAAGTGCTGTTTGACCCCCTCGGGTTCAACGCCTCCCCATGAATGCAGTAATCCAGTCGTGGGTGAAGCATGAATGTCAAAATTAATTCACTTTAACAAGTTCATCAACTTTTCCTAATATTTCGCAAGAATAATTCTGTAATAATCTTCAGATTCTGTGCTTTATCAGCAAGGTGCCCTTTAAGGGAGGTGCCTTAATGCTGGAGAAGGGTTCTTGATCTAAGGAATTTGAGCTTTTCTCCCTTTCCTCGGATGGAATCTGACAGGCTATCTACACCAATGTTTCTCTCGTCGGATATATGCTGAGAGTTTACTGGTATCCCTAATTAAGAGGTTAAAGTATTACTGTCTGATGGAGAAAAAGTTTACATCCACTTTATTGACCCTAGTGTAGGGTCAGTCAAATTCCATCCATTACCTTGGATTGCCTTTTATTCTCCCGGCGCTTCGTTTAATGCTCCTTCCACGAGAGTAATTAAAATACAATCTAGCTGACGTCCCACATCTCTTATTTCAGTGAAGTACTCGGTTGAGTGCACTGGGGCGACCATGGTGGTGCGAGTACCCATGGCCGGGGTGAAGGATGTCGAACTGGACAAGTGGGGTGAGCTTCCAGGGTGTGGCAGCCAGCATGACAACACCCACTACACTCTCACCCTGCCCCTAGATGACACCTTGGCCTGTGGCACAACCAGAGTCAGGAACAAACTTACAGTAAGTTGTTTTATTTTCACTACTTTTATCATATTTATTGGTGTTACCCCACATATTAAATCAGACCTGTAGTGTCCGTCTGTAATATGGTGCAGAGGATTTAGTGTGAGGTTAATCACCCCATAGATATGAAAAACACTGATGCAGCCGAACTCCACAACTATGGCAGTAATGAGAGAGCGGAAAATAAACTGTAGACCTATAACATTGACATCTCATATAGTCAAACTCTTTTGAACGAATTTTAAGAAAAAAGATTGCTTTACACGTGTATTAACAACGACTGTAAACCCAGGGTAGCATGGGTTTAAAGCAGGTCGCTCCTGCTTTTCGCAGTTGCTGGACCATTACGACAGTCTTTGGTGCACTGGAAGACAGACAAAATGCATATGTATTGTATACAGACTCCGCAAGAAGCCTTCAACAAGTTCGTTTATAATGTAATTGCACATAAAACACTTGCAACAATAATAACTTGAAAGTGGTCAGATGGATATTTAACTTTAAACAAATGTAATCCGAAAAGTACAGCGACAAGAAGCAAAGTACAGTGTAAGGTTGTCTTGGTGTACGTACATTCACTGAGGGTTTGTTTTAATCCCTATTTAAGGCATAAAAACATTCTTGTTTGGTAGTGTACTGCTCAGTCATTTCCTCCTAATCAACGCTAGTATATCACTCTGGCTCAGAACGACAAATGTGTGATGCTGACACTATAATCAGCTATCAAAACTTTCGGGGCCCATTCCCTGTAAATATCTTTGTAACTTGTCATGATTGTGACCAGACATACCTGGAGTTCATTACCTTTGTAAATTGTGAGTTCATTATCTTTGTAAATTGTGAGTTCATTACCTCTGTAACTTGCTCAGTTATCAAAACTTTGGAGTCCAGTCCCTGGACCAATTATGTACCTCTGTAATCTTTTGACTACCGCCCACAGGATGGGTATGGGGTGCATAATAAACATATTAAACTAAAACTGACACTATAATGAAGAGTATTTGATAGTGTATTATGCAGTCTACTCACTGGATCTGTTTTCTGTCCACACTTCATACCCTAGTTAGTTTAATATGTTTATTATCCACCCACATATCCATCCTGTGGGCGGAAGTCAAAAGATTACAGAGGTACATAATGGGTCCAGGGACTGGGTCCCAAAGTTTAGATTGAGCAAGTTACAAAGGTAATGAACTCCAGGTAGATCTGGTCACAATCATGACAAGTTACAAAGGTTTTTACAGATTACAGAGGTACATAATGAGTCCAGGGACTGGGCCCCCAAAGTTTTGATAGCTGAACTAGGTACAAAGGTAATGAACTCACAAATTACAAATGTAATATACCCTTAAATCGTCTTTATGTATTCAATTTACTGGCATTATGGTAAGTTATATTTTGATTATATTCTACAAATAGAGTGCAGTCTAACTTCTACAAACCTAAGTTTAATAACTTCTAATGAGAAATTTGGCTAAATTCTTGTATTAAGAAATCGATGCTTGCTGACCCTCGTGTAGTCTTTTAATCTATTAAACCAACCAATCTACAGTAATATATGCGGTTTCTCTCCCACAGGGTGAAGAGTTATTTTATCACCGGGTGGCAATAACGTCCCCCCACGGGAGGCAAGTGATCCTGGTCAAGTGTCGGGTTGGTGCTGACAACTCAACCCTGGGCAATATAGTTAAAAGAGATGTTCTTCCACCGGAGTTTGTGGAGCCAGAGTGAGTATAATTATTAGTTATTATTATTAGTAATATTATTATTATTATTTTCAACAAACGGCTATATCCCACCGAGGAAAGGTGACCTAAAAAAAAGAATACCTAACTAATTCATTACGAAAATAATTTCTCGTGCAGCTACATCGAGATCACATCAGAGGTGACAGGAACAGCACCCATCCCCATCCTGGGCGTGGGCGTGAGGCAGAATGGTCAGTTGGTCGGCTCTCAGATTAATGTCCGCCCAGGTACACCCCTCACCATGGAGGTTAGTACAGAGTATTATTTTGTTTTGGCTTTTATACCAATGGCTTAGCCACGGGGGTGGGGGGGTGTTAAGGGAGCTGCAGCCCCCTATTTGAGGGCTAATTTACTCTATATTTACCTATACCAGTGACCATGACTGCACAATTATTTAAGAAATTTCTCATAGACACTGAAAGTGTTTTGCAAGACTTATTTTTTTTAATTTCTTAGGATTTTAAAGTAACCCCCCCCCCGTCCCTCCCATTCCCGGGCAGATTGAAATCCTGACTAACTGCACAATGATATACATCAACAAATTGATGAATTAGACACATGTGCAACACTGGAATTTCTTCACTGAGATTTTTTTCATCTAGTGACTTTTTTCAGTTCGAGTGATTATTATTATTATTATTATTATTATTATTATTATTATTATTATGAAAGAAATGCTAAACTCAGTTCAATTGAGATTATATACCAGAAACAGTCTAAGATGAGGTATTCAGTTCCTGGTTAATTATTATAATCAAAAGCAAGCGCTAAACCCACAAGGATCATACAGCTCAGACTGATCAAGACTAGTGGACTGAACACCTGCTTCAAATATGGTAAAAACATATAATACTGGCAAATTGATAAGTAAGACACATGTGCAACAGTTGGGTTGCACACATGGGACACAGCAACAAGGGGACACAGTTGGAAGTTGAAGACTCAGATGAATCAAAAGGATGTTAGGAAGTATTACTTCAGTCACAGTTGTCAGGAAGTGGAATAGTCTGGGAAGTGATGTAGTGGAGGCAGGATCCATATCTTTAAGAAGAGGTATGATAAAGCTCATGGAGTAGGAATTATTATTATTATTATAATCAAAAAGAAGCGCTAAGCCACAAGGGCTATACAGCACATGGAGTAGGAAGAGTGACCTAGTAGCGACCAGTGAAGAGGCGGAGCCAGGAGCTGTGATTCGACCTCTGCAACCACAACTAGGTGGATACACATGTGTCTACTCATCACCTGCTTCAAGACTGAGGGACTGAGTACCTTATATTCCACTGTTTTCTATATATAATCTCCTTACTGCACATGTGCCTTATTCGTCAATATATTTTATTGTTATATTAATGGAGAAGAACTAAACCCATAAGGCATAGAGAGCCAGGGATATGGAACCCAGTTAGGTTCGATCCAAGGAAAAAGAGGGTGTCGCTCCAGTTCTTTGGATCAGAAGCTCTTGACCAGCCTCAAGGTATACCTTTACTCTACCTTTGAGTTCCGAGAGCATTTATACTACCTTGAGCCAGGTACGTCTGGTGCTTGCCTGATCAACCAGGCTGTTGCTACTGGTGGCCCACCGGCCCACACATAGAGCTGTTGTTGATATTTCCATATTATTATTATTATAATCAAAAAGAAGCGCTAATCCACAAGGGCTATACAGCACTGCCATATTTCCATATATATATAACTGTAGTTGATAACCGTGTATATTGTCAGGTGTTTCTGGACGACACCTCAGCCGGCACTTACGGCATCTTAATGAGTTATATGGAAGTCACTGATAATGAGAACAAGAAAGAAACTATCATCTTTAATGGGTAAGTGGTCGTTAGTTTTTAATCAGAGGAAGCACCAAACCCTCAGGGGGTTGTATAGTACATGGGCCCCTGGGAGGCATTCATATTCCATCTTGGGAAGAGGAGGACAAATCATGTTCCCTGAAATAAGAGTCCTGTCACCAGCGTCCCAAAGGGAAAGCGCTGAACCCTTTGGAAATATACAGCGCCTGTTGGGGGGAAGGGAAGGCATTCAGGATCAATTCAGGGAACTGGGACTATAGATCCACTTCCTTAGATCAAGAGTTCTCCACCAACATCCAGGAACCTCCCCTGAAGGAGGGCGGCTTCTCATAGCCCCGGCCCTAGAGGGTAGGACGTAATGGATCATATAGTTCGCAGGGATCATGTACGATTTATCATATTCTGATAGGGTGGCCATTAAATTCTAAAATTAATAAGAGTAACGAAAAAAAACATTGAATCATTTTAAACGTTAATCTCAAAAGGGTCATACAGCGCTTCAGGGAAGAATGTGCTAAACGAGGAATATGCAGATGATAGGAGGGAATGAGGAGGCAGGAGTGTGCAAGGTAAGAGCTAGCAGGGGTAGGAGTGTGCAAGGTAAGAGCTAGCAGGGGTAGGAGTGTGCAAGGTAAGAGCTAGCAGGGTAGGAGTGTGCAAGGTAAGAGCTAGCAGGGGTAGGAGTGTGCAAGGTAAGAGTTAGCAGGGGTAGGAGTGTGCAAGGTAAGAGCTAGCAGGGGTAGGAGTGTGCAAGGTAAGAGCTAGCAGGGGTAGGAGTGTGCAAGGTAAGAGCTAGCAGGGGTAGGAGTGTGCAAGGTAAGAGCTAGCAGGGGTAGGAGAGTGCAAAGAGCTAGCAGGGGTAGGAGAGTGCAAAGAGCTAGCAGGGGTAGGAGAGTGCAAAGAGCTAGCAGGGGTAGGAGAGTGCAAAGAGCTAGCAGGGGTAGGAGAGTGCAAGGGTAAGAGCTAGCAGGGTAGGAGAGTGCAAAGAGCTAGCAGGGGTAGGAGAGTGCAAAGAGCTAGCAGGGGTAGGAGAGTGCAAAGAGCTAGCAGGGGTAGGAGAGTGCAAGGGTAAGAGCTAGCAGGGGTAGGAGAGTGCAAAGAGCTAGCAGGGGTAGGAGAGTGCAAAGAGCTAGCAGGGGTAGGAGAGTGCAAAGAGCTAGCAGGGGTAGGAGAGTGAAAGTGTAAGAGCTAGCAGGGGTAGGAGAGTGCAAAGAGCTAGCAGGGGTAGGAGAGTGCAAAGAGCTAGCAGGGGTAGGAGAGTGAAAGTGTAAGAGCTAGCAGGGGTAGGAGAGTGCAAAGAGCTAGCAGGGGTAGGAGAGTGAAAGTGTAAGAGCTAGCAGGGGTAGGAGAGTGCAAAGAGCTAGCAGGGGTAGGAGAGTGCAAAGAGCTAGCAGGGGTAGGAGAGTGCAAGGGTAAGAGCTAGCAGGGGTAGGAGAGTGCAAGGGTAAGAGCTAGCAGGGGTAGGAGAGTGCAAAGAGCTAGCAGGGGTAGGAGAGTGCAAAGAGCTAGCAGGGGTAGGAGAGTGCAAAGAGCTAGCAGGGGTAGGAGAGTGCAAAGAGCTAGCAGGGGTAGGAGAGTGCAAAGAGCTAGCAGGGTAGGAGAGTGCAAAGAGCTAGCAGGGGTAGGAGAGTGCAAAGAGCTAGCAGGGGTAGGAGAGTGCAAAGAGCTAGCAGGGGTAGGAGAGTGCAAAGAGCTAGCAGGGGTAGGAGAGTGCAAAGAGCTAGCAGGGGTAGGAGAGTGCAAAGAGCTAGCAGGGGTAGGAGAGTGCAAAGAGCTAGCAGGGGTAGGAGAGTGCAAAGAGCTAGCAGGGTAGGAGAGTGCAAAGAGCTAGCAGGGGTAGGAGAGTGCAAAGAGCTAGCAGGGGTAGGAGAGTGCAAAGAGCTAGCAGGGGTAGGAGAGTGCAAAGAGCTAGCAGGGGTAGGAGAGTGCAAAGAGCTAGCAGGGGTAGGAGAGTGCAAAGAGCTAGCAGGGGTAGGAGAGTGCAAAGAGCTAGCAGGGGTAGGAGAGTGCAAAGAGCTAGCAGGGTAGGAGAGTGCAAAGAGCTAGCAGGGGTAGGAGAGTGCAAAGAGCTAGCAGGGGTAGGAGAGTGCAAAGAGCTAGCAGGGTAGGAGAGTGCAAAGAGCTAGCAGGGGTAGGAGAGTGCAAAGAGCTAGCAGGGGTAGGAGAGTGCAAGGGTAAGAGCTAGCAGGGGTAGGAGAGTGCAAGGGTAAGAGCTAGCAGGGGTAGGAGAGTGCAAGGGTAAGAGCTAGCAGGGGTAGGAGAGTGCAAGGGTAAGAGCTGGCAGGAGTAGGGGAGTGCAAGGGTAAGAGCTAGCAGGGTAGGAGAGTGCAAGGGTAAGAGCTGGCAGGAGTAGGGGAGTGCAAGGGTAAGAGCTAGCAGGGGTAGGAGTGCAAGGGTAAGAGCTAGCAGGGGTAGGAGAGTGCAAGGGTAAGAGCTGGCAGGGGTAGGGGAGTGCAAGGGTAAGAGCTAGCAGGGGTAGGAGTGCAAGGGTAAGAGCTAGCAAGGGTAGGGGAGTGCAAGGGTAGAAGCTAGCAGGGATAGGAGAGTGCAAAGGTAAGAGCTAGCAGGGGTAGGAGAGTGCAAGGGTAGGAGAGTACGAGGGTAAGAGCTAGCAGGAGTAGGATAGAGAGTGCAAGGTTAAGAGCTAGGAGGGGTAGGAGTGTGTGCAAAAGGTGTACTAAAATCAAAGTTGGTGCAATAAGTGAGATTCTGTCAATTATTCTTACAATCAAAACTAAGCACTGAACCCACAAGTCTTGCAGTGCTGGAGGTCAGGATGTGCTAAAGATATATGTTGAGTGTGTGTGTGTGTGTGTGTGTCTGTGTGTGTATGTGTATGTGTATGTGTATGTGTATGTGTATGTGTGTGTGTGGTGTGTGTGTGTGTGTGTGTGTGTGTGTGTGTGTGTGTGTGTGTGTGTGTATGTATCTGTGTGATGTGACTTATAGCAAGGTCAGTAAGCCAAACCCATAATGGCCATACAGCACCTTGGAGAATAGTAGGCAATGATGTTTGATCCAAGGAAAGGGAGGGTGTATCCAGTTCTCTGGATCTAAAGCCCCTTCCTGGTGGCATGTATTGCCTAAATGAAGCACTAGTGTGGTATGCAAGAGCATAATTAAGGTACAGTCAGGCTCTGCTTTACAGTGCTTTGCTCTGGCGAATTTTGCTAATGCAGAGGTTTTCACTTACTCCTTCATTTATTCAGACTTCCTACAATAAATATATTCACCACTCACTATAAGCAAAGGAAGAAAATATTTTAAGATAAGTAATGTGTGTACCATCTATGCATTTTTTAAGCCTAGCTTTACTGCTCACTCAATATATGTATGATAGTGTAAATATATTATCAAGCTTTTATATGCATTTGAAAGTGAAAAAAGGCTGTATTTCACCTTAGTGATATTTGCTTTATAGCAGTAGCCAGGAACCTAACCTGCTGTATAAGCGAGGCCCTCCTGTAAATATTCTTTGTCATCTTTATATATGATTGTTTGAACCCTTGACCAGTGTTGATCAAACTTTTATGCTCGTTTTTGGTGTCTATATATAAATGAATGATGCTTGATATATGGCAGTAAAGTATTCCCGGCTTTTCATTTAAAATTAATATCATTATTACTGTTGCATTTATTCTAATTGCTACAATACTTTTATGGATAAATAATGTACCATTGCTTGCAGGTGTTCCGTTGACCCAGTGCTCTTCGACAACTTCATCACAACTACTGGTGACTATGTGTCTGCCAAATTCCGAGCCTTCAAATTCCCAGAGACAAACTATGTTTTGTTCCGAGGAACTGTAGATATCTGCCTTGATAAGTGCCAGGGGGTAAGTCACGTGCTGCAGAACTACTGTAGTTTTTCTCTGTTATAAGCCCTTAAAGGCATATATAAACATTCTAAATATAGTAGACTCTCACATTACAGGGATTTATTTGGCACATTTTGGTTACCACACTATTGAAAAATTGTGGCATAATTTTATACAACACTTCATAAAATTAACATGGTTCGGCTTGTGGGAGGGGAAAAATTTGGAGTGTCGCCTGTAGGATATTTCCCTAGCTCAGGCCTCCGCCTGACTGTGGGTGAGACCACTGTCTCTGCAGGGCTGCATCGGGCTTCAAGGCAGCAAAGGATCGCTTCACCTTGCTCCTTTGTGATAATGCGTCAGGTGATTTCAAGCGTAAGCCCATGGTTATATACCACTCTAAGAATCCTTGTGCTTTGAAAGGTGTACATAGATAAAAACATCTTACCAGTAATTTGGAGATCAAACCAGTCAGCATGGATGACAGATTATTATTATAATCAAAAAGAAGCGCTAAACCACAAGGGCTGTGGATGACAGAGGAAATATTTATTGACTGGTTTAAGCATCACTTTATTCCTGAAGTCAAGTTTCACCTGCACAGCAAGAACCTTGCAGTCAAGGCACTCTTCATTCTTGATAATTCCCGTACTCATCTAGAAGCTTTGCTGGATGTGACCCCACATGTAAAAGTTGCATTTTTACCTCCAAAGACAACATTTTCAATACATCCACTGGATCGAGGAGTTATTAAGCCATTCAATTGTAACTACACAAGAAAAGTGATGAAAAAACTAGATGCATCAGTGAACTGACTTCAACCTGGCAATACCAAGCTTCTGGAGTAATGTATAATGCACTGCAGGGTAAAAGAAGCCAGAGATCCATTACAGAATTTATGCACACTCCAATACAACCATTGGCTTTAGTACCAAACCCTCAACCATCCACTTCTGCCAACAACCAACAATCATCCACCTCAGCCCAGTAGGGCCATACCATTCATCTCCACAAAATACTGACATACACCAGCAACCACAATTGAGGGTAAATATTATTATTTCTGTTGCATCTGTAGTCTTAAGCAACAAAAACATTATCATTTTCATTTTCGTAAGATCTGGATGTCTAAAAAAAAAGATGTTTGGCTTTTGGGGGAGTTCATTCATTCATGTTAATTCGCTGGTTTTGGGGGAGGGGGTCTCAGGAATGTAACCTTATTTTCCCCCTATGTTTTTCAGTTTATATAACACGGATTTATCTAACACAACATTTTCAGGAACTTAACTACCGTGTAATATGAGGGTCTACTGTACTGTATATCACACCTGCAAAATTCCCTGCATTTGCTCCTTGTTTGAGTGCTCTGTTTATGATGAGCGAGTTGTAAAACTCCAGGCCAGTGGGTAAGCCACTGGGCCAACTGGCTACAATAAGATTCATCCAACTGGGTATACGTATTTATACACTATAAGGAGGTTAGCATAAGCCCCACGGAGACCACAATTATTATTATTATTATAATCAAGGGGGAAGCGCTAAACCTGGAGGATTATACAGCGCCTGTGGGGGGGGATGTGGAAGGCATTCAGGCTTAATTCGGGGAACTGGAGCACAGATCCAATTCCCTAAATCAAGAGCCCCTCACCAACATCAAGGAACCTTCCTTGAGGGGTCGGAGACCACAAATACAACAACTTTTTACAGGCTGAGTGGCTTGTGCACTGTCCTGGAGTTTTAAGACTCACTCGCCATGGGTTCAAATGTCACCTGTTCCATTCTTTGTTTGCAATCATGTTATGATTTTGTGAGAAATGATAATTATCATTTGGAAAGGAATTAGAGCTATAGTTTGTGGAAATGAATTTGTTTTACAAAGGCACATGAAATTATAATGCATTTTTACTCTCACTAATCCACTGAACTAAATTTATTATTATTATTATTTATCAGATTGCTTGTAGTAATGGTCAGCTGGGCTTTGGACGGCGGCGACGTGATATCAGTAGCCAGGCGGTGGATCCGAACAAGATCTTTGAGGTTACAATGACAACTTTCTTGAAAGTAGATGAAACACTCAATAATACGAACAAGGAAGATGTGAAGAGCTTCGCTACAGACATGGTGGATAAAGTTGTGAAAGGCATAGGAGCTGTCGAGAGGGCACTTGCCGACGCTGAAGCCTCTCTACCTTGGAGTAGGTCAGCAACTGAGCGCGATGCACCGTTCCAGTCCAGTGAAGGAAATGAACCAGTCTTCATTTACTACAATGATAATAGTGGTCAAAGATACACTCAGAGTTTGTTCACTCTCATAGTAGCTGCTCTTCTTGTCTGCTGTTGCCACTAATGCATTTAAAGATTAGCTAGTAGAAATAAAACCTGTGTGTGTGCATGACCAGTTCAGTTTATGCTGTTACTGGTAAAATTTGATTGCACTTCAGCTCAAAAACTGCTTTCATATTACATGTGATAAGTCATCACAGGTCCACATAGGTTTATAAAATTGCATTTCTCTTTGCCAACACAGGTTTGGTAAGTATGTGTGAATGCATGAATGTGTATGTGCAAAATAAATTTAGAATGCACAATAAAAACAACTTATGAAAAACAATTCGGATTTAAGCAAAATTTCCGTATTTAGGAGACCCTCGTTAGTGGCTCAAGAATGAAGTTAATCATACCTGGCATTTCATACTGGTACATAATGTATCGTATTAACCAGTGTGTTAATGAAGTGTATATGTACAGCATGTATGTGTATATACATACTGTTAGTAAATTTCTTCAAGGAAAGCAGGTGTGGTAAAATTTGAATCAGCTTTAAATTAATGACTTCCATGAGAATTAACTAAGAAAATATGGCATTTTATGTGTAATTTTGTGTTTGTGTATATTTTTTTTTTTCAACAGTACTAGCAGTTAAATATTTAATTATTATATGTTCACTTTAACAATCTGAACTAAAACACTAAATGAAAACTCGCCTTTTACAAGTCAAGTTTTCACTCAACACATGGAAGACACTATGCATTTTCATATTTATATAAATGATTATGTAGTGTTCTTTCCAAGTTTAAGTGCCACAATAGTGTGTATCCTTACAGAACTGTGTAAGAAGTGTCATAGATATAAGTGTGATAAGTTTTTGTACCAATCTACCAACCCATCCTTTTAAGCAAACGTTGGTGGTTTACTGTGTCTAAAGTCACATTATTATTATTATAAACATAACTAAGTGCTAAACCCACAAGGTCTAAAGTCACGATACTTTGGCTGGAACAATTCACAAATAACCCGCACTTAGGAGAGAAACTTATGACTTTAAGGCCTTGTTGCTGCTGGCTGTACACAGTTTGACACACAAACCACAGCCTGGCTGGTCTGGAACTGATTTGAGAAATTTGTCAAGTTCCCTCTGGCTATCTTCAAAAGAGAACTTAAGTTCCTCAAATAAGTTCCTGACCAGCTGGGCTGTGGTGTATACGCTGGACTGTGTGCAACAGCCTAGTTTATTAAGCCTTTATCCACCAGGAAGCCTGGTCAAATGCTAGGCCATGGAGTCACTTAGCCCCGAAAATGTCCTTCGGGTATCCATCCTGAGCCAGTTGTGACTTGACAATAGTCCAGGCTGGACCAAAGCATTGTCATGTGTTTCCTCTCCAAAGTACAGATTATTTGTGAAATGCTTCAAGAGTGATGGTACAGCATCAGTGATGTAAAAAATGTAAATGTCAGGATTTTATTGTCCTGCTTCCTCAGTCTTCTTGCTGGCTCCCTGTTTTCTGTTTGTGCAACAAAACATGATCCCCATATGCATTATTACATTTATTGGTGTTAATATATCAGACATGATTAAATTTACTTAAATCTGGTTAACTAATGCTAACTTTAAGCTATCCCCAAAAAATTGTGGAAGTAAAAAAAATGGCTTAAATAAAATAGAATCAATGTTGCATTAGGAGGAAAGGTTGCAGTCTGCTCTATCATGCATTGTCTTCTAATGAAATGTGTGTGTGTGTGTGTTTGTTTTATCGATTAAATTCTTTTACATTGCGTGAAACACTAACTGTTACTGATAATACCAGTAAATATTTTTTGGCCAGAGTTTCAACACTTAACGCTATTGTAGCTCTTTTAATTTAGTTATTGGATGAATGCTAAATTTGTCCATCTTAAAATTTTATAGTATGACTTTTCAAATTAATGTATCCTTTTGAAAGCTGTTAAAAATATTTGACTTTTTGGTATGACTTTCTTTATGAATAAAGCTATAAAATGCATGACTTCAAATATGAAAAAATAGCAACGTGAAATAATTAACTGAAACCCGAGTATTTCAATGCATTTTCGTACACGTCTTCAGAAGAACTGATTCCTCTGAAAACACGTGTGTCTATACTTTTAATTTTTTCACTGTGGTATTTCTTTACAATTTACATTATTGCTCTTACTGTGGTGTTGGGGAAAACACAGTTTTTTTAATTCTGTGTCACTTTGATCTGTCTATTGCCTCTGCTCCTATTGTTGCCTCCCAGACTGCCTTTATTCCTAGAGACTTGAGGTGCGAGTTACATTGTGTAGGATGTTGGACATCGTGTTACCTAGGGTCCACAGTACAGTGACACCTCTGTATAACAGACTAAAAGGGTTTCTGTTTAAATGAAAATCCTTATCAAAATGCCCTATGCAACTGAGGTGATCCATTGCATGGAGACCCTCAGACACTTGCACTACTACTGATGGGCAAAATCTTGAAGCAGTGGACTTGGTCCTTTGTATCGAATATTTGTCTGGCTGTATATTTTATCAGTTATGCCATCTACCAAACCGGAGTCTATTATATAGAGGTTTTACATTTGTTTCAACAACATCCAAGGAACTTGATAATAGTTTAAATCACAACAGGTTAAGTTGAAAATACAGAGGGTTTGTATCTCTGTGATGACAGATAGGATGATGCATAACAGTAGAGTATATGGGTGAATTACAGCCTTAATGACTCTAACATGCTAGCTATATACTTTAAACTTTACACACCAATCCATAAAAAATTTTCATAAAATGCTGCCTAACACCCTGGTAACAGGAGAGAGAGAGAGAGAGAGAGCGAGCTACCTCAAAGTCTGGGTACTGGGTAGTCTGGGCAAGACTTGGTAGTGCCACGGGCAGTTGCAACTGAGATTTCTTGTCATTAACTGCCCTTGACACTGAAGTCTGCCAACCACTGGCCTGAGAGCCATAATGTAACAGCAACTAACAAAGTGCTTGTACAGCTGTACAGTAGAATAAATCGTATAATACTCTAATGTAAAATAAACTGTGATAGTTTCCTAGAGTTTTATTATATTCTTGTTTTTCTGAATGGCTGCTACACAATCAGGAATGATGCAAGGAAAGAGACCTGATTCCATGGATAGAAAGCCCTAAAAATACAGAGTAAAATTATTGAGCAATGTGTGATCACAGTTGAATATGTTGAGGCCATTTTCCACCAAAACTAATGAGTAAACTTTTTTACATACATTCCTAATGAATTCTTATTTCTGAAATGAACATATACTATGAATTTTACATAACACACTAGTCATTCCCATCTCTCCAAAAGTGCAACACCTTTGTATGTCTTTTTTAAATAAACTGCAAATGATTATAATTATTATTATTATTGAAAGCATGGTTAAGGGTCTCAAACCAAGCAAAAGGATTTTACAGGGAGGAAGAAAAATGGCAAATACAGTGGACCCCCGGTTTACGATATTATTTCATTCCAGAAGTACGTTCAGGTGCCAGTACTGACCAAATTTGTTCCCATAAGGAATATTGTGAATTAAATTAGTCCATTTCAGACCCCCAAACATACACATACAAATGCACTTACATAAATACACTTACATAATTGGTCGCATTGGGAGCTGATCGTAAACCGGGGGTCCACTGTACAAGGAATAGAAATAATGGGTTTTAAGTGAATAAGTAACAAATATCAGGAATAGATTATCCCACAAGAGTACTATGGTATGTCATGAGTAACATTACAATTTCTTTTAATCAATATTGATAGTAACAACTGCTACATATTTTTATCACATAAATACTATATAAAACATGTTTCATGTTACAGAGGCACACTTGTCTGAGAGGCAAAGCTTCCCTGTTGATTCTGCAAGTTACAATGGTTATACAAGTAATGTGACAATTTACAGATGTCACATATTTAAGCACAGACTAAAGATACTATTATAACGAAAAATATAATTTTGTTCATGTCAAACTTTAAGCAAGCTAAAGCACAGCACATCCTAGTGTTACAAAAGACTAGTTTAGTGCTACCTGGTAAGTCAACATGACTGGCAAATTTAACATTGCCATTGTCATTAAAAGAAGAATAAATAGTATCACAGAAATTTGTACTGTGCTTTACAGATATTCATGTGACTATTTTAAGGCCATAATTAATTATAGAAGCACAGTACTATACATACCACAAAACAGAGTAACTATGAACTATTTTCTTTTATTATTTTTTATTATCACACTGGCCGATTCCCACCTAGGCAGAGTGGCCCGAAAAAGAAAAACTTTCACCATCATTCACTCCATCACTGTCTTGCCAGAAGGGTGCTTTACACTACAGTTTTTAAACTGCAACATTAACACCCCTCCCATAATTTGGAGAGGAATCTTTAGGCGACATTTAAGTCAGTTTCGGACAACATCAAGTCACGACTAACTTGATAACGGTCCAGGATGCACAAGACTTGAAACACTTCGGCATTTTTATTGCTGAAATATTCTGCCTACACTGTAGGCCTCTCCAGTATAATACAGATGTGATATTTATCACCTCTGTATTCGAATGAACAAGCCTGCTGTGCAGGGGAAAATGTTGAGGCAGTAAAGATCAGCTTATTGATATTTTATACCATTTATAATATTGTTCAGGATAGACCAGAATGTTGTCTAAAAAATTTTCTTTAATATGTGACTTAATAGTGAACTGTTTCAGCCATGATATAGTGATGTTCATTCTACTTTAGTGTAACAATATTCAGACCAAAGTATGTATAGGGTTACATTTTTATGATAACTATTTCAATGATACAAATTTTCCACATGATACCACAGCCACTGGAAAAAAACTAAACAAAAGAGGTCCTGTGCCCAAGTATTTACTGCCACTGAAAGTCTTTATTTATGTACTACTTTGCTGACATATTGCTTTTGCCAAAGTTGTCTCTCTTTTTGTCCAGTGGCTCAGTGGCAGTGTCTTCATCTCACAAGTGAAGGGTCTAGCCCCTATTCATCTAGTATATAGGTACCTGGATGTTACCTGGCTGTTACATGCAACATCCTGTGGCCTCCTTAGCATGCTGCACTGCACCTCACTTGAAATCAACATATCACTCAAGGTGATTAAGATATACAAAATATACAGGGGCTGAAAGAAAGAAAGATAGTTTATAACACTTGCCAAAATAGGCTCAAGCTGTTGTATGATGCAGCAGTCTATAAACATAAAATGAAGTGTAGGGAATATCAGTACACACTGACTTGTACTTTCAATGTATGGATCATACAAATATGGCATAATGGTCTCTACTCTAGAGATAGGCAGGCCTTTGAGCTACAGTTGAGTTCCAACAACCTTCTACCACCCACCACACTCTCTACAAAGGACTGTGTGAAGAAAACCATCTGAGGAAGGATGAGCATTCCTCAGTACAAATTCACAGTTTGTGGAGTGAGCTCCCATAGCCTACTAGTAACAGATGTGATAGCAAATTTGTCCTCAAACACTTAACCAACTTTACTTGGCTAAAGTACAAAAAACTGCCTCTACGTATCAAAGATGAAGGCTGGCTATAATGGTACCATGGTTACATAAATTTTCTTTGTGCAGATGTGAAGAGCAGCACAAGTGGAGGAATAAATAGTAAATGTACTGGACTAACTGAGGGTAGTATGGTCTTGAGGGACAGCAGGATAATGGATGATAACTGCAGGGATCTTCCAGAAGGAGGCAACTCCTGATACACAAGTTCATGTAATTTTTATTTTTTTATTAACACATTGGCTATTTCCCACTGAGGCAGGGTGACCCAAAAAAAGAAGAAACACTTTCATCATAGATTAATGAAGTTTTTCTTATTATTTTTAGTAATTTATACAGGAAAAGGGGTTACTAGCCCATTCCTCCCAAAATCACATAATGTAGCAATGAAAATAAGTGGAACCCAGAGTTAAGGAATGCCACTTCTAGAAGGATGTTGGACCAAGAGAAGCATGATGTGAGCCAAATACTTGCTCTGCAAGGAAAGTATCCACATGTTTAGAATGTCCACCCACACTGATGCAAAGATTTCCTCCCCAGTGTTCCTCAGCCAAACACCCAACAAGACAGTCATTAAATTTTGGTTTGCCTTGACACATCTGTTTTCCTCACATTTCTGTTCCCTTCCTAGACATTTTTTTAACATAGTGATCATCTCTCATCGAGGCTGGGTCATCCAAAAAAAAGAAATACTTTCACAATCATTCACTGTCTTGCAGAAGTGCAAAAAGCAAATATCCCCACCCCTCTTTTACAGTGTAGGCACTGCACTTCCCACCTCCAGAAGTCAAATCTGGCTAAACGGTCTCCCTGGATCCTTCACAAAATGTTACCTAGACATATCTTCCAGTATTCTCACAGGGTCTTCCATCTCAGGTCTTACTACACTAATTCTTATACTAAAAACACAATAATTACAAATGATTTTAAACAATAGTATGGTAATTAGCATCCTTAACCCTATCAGGGTCGACAGGCCCTCTCAGAGACTTGTTCTCAGGGTCGCCCAAATTTAAAAAAAAAAAATTATTTTTTCTTATGAAAAGATAGAGAATCTTTTCCTGATCATTATGACACCAAAAGTATGAAATTTGATGGAAAACTTACAGAATTATGCTCTCGCGAAGTTAGCGGTCTTGACGATGTTTACGCATCGGCGATTTTGTCCACTTTGAGCCCTATTTTCGGCCAATTCCAGTGTACTAGTCGACAAAAATCATAACTATTTCGCTAGAACTCCATTTTTTCTATCGAATGAGTACAAGAAACCACCTATTTACCGATTTCAACTATCGAATACAGTGGTCAGAATTTAGCCATTTTGCCAATTTCACACAAATTTCAGAAGATGCCAATTTCCGAATAGGGTCCAGAATAAACAAGAAAGACATTCCTGGCACTAAAATAACATTTCCTCTGTTCATTAGTCACGTCCCCATGCCCCTCTTGCATTCTTTTGCTTTCCACTTTGAATTTTTATTCTCACAAAAAAATAGAAGATTTACTGTTATGCAGACTACTGCATTAGTGTAGAAATGGTATAAATAATATCAGCGCACTTGTGAAAGAAAATCAAATTCACCAGTTGACGTGTATTGGACGCATAGCATGATTTGTTTACTTTTGAACTTGGGTAAAAATCGAAGATTTCTGCTACTTGGAACTCAATGTCAAGGTACTTTTCATGGTAAAACCAGTCAAAATCATCTCAATTTCTATATGTCTTCCATTCTATAAAATGAGACCAGGAAAACTAGAATACAACAATAAATACCATACAAAAATACAATGCAAAGTCGCTGTTTTAATCCAAAAACACGGTCAAAGTTTTTTTTTTCTCATTACACACTGTGTGCTGCAGGATTTTTTTTATACTGCGCACACTGACCACATAGACCCATTCTTTCATATGTAGGCCTACCAGCTTTCTCTCGTTAGATTTGAGGGCACTAGAATTTAGGCGTCCTAGTACGTCAAAAACCCTGGGTCGTAAGCTGTACTAGTACGGCCGAAACCCTGAAAGGGTTAAATGGTAAACTTAAAATTTTTACCAAAATTAAATGCAATATTAACCCTCCACTAATAAACAGATTGACGCCTAAAACTCAATTTAAAATAAACAAATGTAATAAATAATGCTGTGTCAGGTCATGCACTGTTCAGTGGTCAAAGCAGTCAGCTCACAATAGAGCTTCCCAGTTTGAATCCTGGGCAAGTCTCCTCACTAAGTAACCTTGTTCACCTACTAATAAGCAAGTATACTTGGGTGTTAACTGACTTATGGTTTACATTCTGTCTGGCTTGGGGGCCTAGATGAACCAAGGGTTTCCCATCCCCAACACCAGTATACCATATATTGTACTGTATACTCACTCTGTCCCCCAACTCAGATATAACCCAGTGTATATCCACTCTGTCCCTGACATTTATACATAATGTACTATAATGTACATACACACTATCCCTGGCACTGGTATACTATACACTGTCCCAGACACCAGCATACATATTATACAATGTACGCTCAGTCCCCAGCATCTGTATACCTTATTCTGTACTGTACATTTACTTTGTTCTGTCCCCAGCACCAGTGAACTGCATACTGTACACACATTCTCCAGCACTGGTATACCGTATACTGTACACTCACTGCTAGCAAATACTTTTTGAACAGTATTACTTGGTCTCCATGTCAAACTGTACAGGGAGAATACTACAGCAGAACCCTAGAACAATGGAGGGAATTAATGTGAGGAGAAACCAGCAAGTCTCTCTGAAATAATAATAACAATGCTCATACATGAATTATAATGAGATGATAATCAATAGCCCCATAAATAATTAGTTTATTCTACCCAAAATGCTTTGTATAAATATAGGCTTTTGATTATAAGAAACTTGTATCAAATATATATTACTGGAAAATAAATTCTTATTATAATTTATACAGTGGAGAAGTAGATATATAATGCACAAGTAACTTGCACAGAGGAAAGAGAAACTTGCGACGATGTTTTGGTCTGACTTGGACCATTAACCAGTCACACACTAACACACAAAAGTAAGGGAGCCAGTGTATATATAACTATATATATACGTGAGGAGGGCTGGGATCGTGCAAGAGCCATTAAGTGATAAATCAAAGCAGGAAGAGAAACTTTACTTTATGACACTTCACCAAAAGTGGGGATTTAACGATAAAGTTTCTTCCCATTTAAGGTGTCTTGGAATTACTATTGCAGAGAACTTTATTTTCCGAAGCATTCCACCTTGCCTAGGTTCGAACACACAGATAAAAATTAATGTTACTCGAAGTGACATAATAATGTCGAAAACTTTACTGAGCATCATTCCCAGCCGTGCAATGTGTGTCGTTTTTACCACTGCATTCAAAATGTTAAGGAAATCTGTAGTAGTGGTTAACATTTATTATTATACAGTACTTGCAACATACAGCAGTAACACGTAAATATAACCAAGAATCATTTCTGGTGCGAGCGTGGCATTTAGTAGAAAAATCAGGTATCTTAAATTTTGAGTTTTACCATTTTAACAAAGCTTGTCTCATTTAGGCCATTCTTCCAGGGTTTTACTACATAATAAAATGCTTCAAACAGTGCTTAAGACAGATTTTCAGATTGAGTGGTTTAATACTACATCACAATGGTGTACAATGTGTTAAAGATAACAGGTAATGTGGAAAAAGACACATATGTACAGTTCAGGACATTTATTGGAGAAAATTTCACCATGAGTGGCTTCTTCAAGACTGAAAAAAGAAACTTGTAGCAAAATTTTCCTCAAATAAATATCCTGGACTGTAGATAAGTTTCTTTCCCACATCTTGTCAGTATCACCATACTATTTTTCATAACTGGTAATACACCTCTTGCAGTGTTTAACCCTTAAACTGTCCAAACGTAGATCTACATTCACTCGCGTAATGCTCCGAATGTAGCTCTACGTTCGATTTTAAATGCTTTCTTATGTAAAAAAAAAACACAGATCTACGTTCACTCGTGTAGCGCTCCGAACGTAGATCTACTTTTTTTTTTTTACATAAGACAGCATGTAAAATCGAATGTGGACAGTTACAGGGTTGACCTCCATAGTTTAGATCACAGCATAACAGGTTATCATACCAAGGCCTTGAGAGTGTCAACCACAGTGTGTATGGAGGGACGAACTTTAGGAGACATCTGCCAACACCCAGCTAGTAGATTTTCCAGGTCAACTGGAGTCCGAGGTGGAGCTGTGCACTTCAACTCTCCACACTCTGCATTAGCTATTACCTGTAAATGTAATTATCACTTTCAAAATACTAATTTCATATATAATTTTATTTTACCGCTCTCATATGCCTTGTTTCTATGACAATCTATTAGTGCAATAAGAAATTGAATGCCATAATAGTCTAACATAATCTTAATTCATTTTCTAATGTTCAAATATACAAAAAACCCACACATAGAGAATGAAATTTATGATGTTGTTTTGGTCCAACTTGTACTATTAACTAGTCAATGGTACTAGTTGGACCGAAATGTCATCATAAGTTTCATTCTTCTATGTGCAGTTTATTTGTGTATTGTTCTGGTCATGGTATTGTGCCACTTTATTTGTAATTTTCAAATATAGATCACAGCATTTCAGGAATGTTGTAATGAAGGAATAGTATATATATCAGTGTACAAGCAACTATTAAAAGAGAATGAAAAGTAGTTTCTAATAATGACTTGCCTGATGATCAGAGAGTTCTGAATGGGGTATGGCTGCCTGGGTGAGCACTTCCCACACCAGCCAACCCCATGAGAACACAGAGCTCTTCATACTGTACTCATCCTCCAATAAAGCCTCTGGTGCTAACCATCTCACTGGCAACACCTACAAAAAAAAATGTGGCTGCAGATTTCATGTCAACTATTGACTAGTGAATACTACACATGTCCTGAACACATTTAAAATGAGTAACATATAAAAATAAATGTTCAAAACAATGTACAATGGTACATTGCGTTTCGAACACCTCCCAACTCGAGCAATTATGTAAGAGTATTTTTGTGAGTGCTTTTGTAAGTGTAATTTTGGGGGTCTGAAATGGACTAATCTAATTTACATTATTCCTTTGGGAACAAACTTGTTTGGTAACGGCATACGAACAGCCTTCTGGAATGAATTATGGCCAAAACTCGAGGTACCACTGTAGCTGTAATGTGTAATATATATTTCATTTTAATATCCATGAATGTTTTAGAGATTAATTTTATTTTTAACACACTGGTTGTCTCCCACCTAGGAAGGGGGTGGCCCAAAGAAAAAGAAATGAAAAGTTTTTCTTGTTTTTACATTCAGTAATGTATACAGAAGGGGTTACTAGCCCTTCGTTCCCAGTATTTTAGTCGCCTCTTATGATATGCATAGTTTATGCAGGAAGGATTCTTCTCTATTTCCCTTTGGAGAATAAGAGTAATAATATTATTATACTGCTACTGAGTAAGTGATGGTGAATGTGCCCCTAGGGAATCACCCTATCCTGGTGGGATATAGCTAGTGTATTAAAAAATTATATACGTACATTCTTAATTACTAACAGCTACAGCAAGTAAAACCAAAGACAAAAAAATTCAAGAAGATTTAGTTGTTTAAGAACCATTTAAACTTAAAACATAAAGGATAGCAATAAACACAACAAAAAGAAGAAAAATCAGAAGGATCATATTCAGAAGAGCCAATATCTAAATAATGGAGATGACACAGAGGTGCAGGTATGGTACAGAATAAGAGTGCTTAGAGCACTGACTTGATAATTTTAAGAATGGCTTGCTATGGGTTTGAATCTTGTCCCATCTGGAAGTTGAATAATGGTGAACATTGCACATAACATCTGCAGCAAGGAGGAGGATGAAGGCAATCAAAAAGTCATATTTGAGGGTGCTGTGTGGTGTAGATATGGTGTATTTAATGCACAAGAATATGTACAACATGGCTTATAGCCGGGTATCTCCTTGTAAATATAAGATTGTTAAAATCAGCATTTTTTCACTCATTATTAGAGGATATGCTGACCAAAGACATGCAAAGTAAAAAAAAAAAATGGGGGAGGAGGGCTGTGGAAACTGTCCCTAGAACTCCATGCAAACACTGGTCACTTGTACACTAATGTGAAATCTCATTTGAGGCAATCAAGACAGAAGCAACAGATAAAATATAATACCTGATTTCTGTATGTACAGTACTCAGCAGAGTAAGCATCATGGGTGAGTGCTGGGGAAGCTAGTTTGACCTGTAGAGCTGAGGTAATGAGACAGTTACGAGCGGCGACGTCCTTATGAGTGTGACGCCGACCACTCAGGTATTCCAATCCTTCGGCTACCTACATCAAAGCAGAACATAGTTATATATATAAATAAATTATATATATATATATAAATATAAATATATAAATATATAAAATATATAAATATATATATATATATATATATATATATATATATATATATATATATATATTTATATATATATATATATTTTTATGCAATAAGATCCAAGCGCTTTCGTGACTACTCACATTATCAAGGAACTATGAAAGTAAAGCATCCAAGGAAGCTATATAAGGGGTCTGGTCGGCACCTCACTATCAGATCCACAACGGTTTAAACACGTGACGCGCGGCGAGCCAACTTGGAAAGGTCCTTGGCACAACTCACCCCACAAACTATTCTACCAAGAAATAAGAAATTTTAAAGATTATTTGTCCAGTGTATTATTAAAATTCTTCCCAATTTCTATTAATTATAAATGGATCTAATTTATATAAACCAAAGGAAATATTCATATTATTGTCAAAACTGCTTTTATTGAAACAAGATTCAATTATATTCCTGTCGACCATGGACTTGCTTGATACTACTTTCTCAACTTTTTGAAAATCAATTGGATGGTTAAAATCTCTTACATGAATAAATAGAGCATTGGAATCTTGCCCAGTTCTAATGCTATATTTATGTTGTTTTAATCTTAGTTCGAGATTTTTACCAGTTTGACCGTAATAAACTTTATCGCAAATTTTACAAGGAATCTTATAGACACATCCATCAGCATTTTGGGGGGAATTCTTTATCAAAAGTTTTTTTACTGTATCGAGATTTTTGAATACAACTTTAATATTAAAAGTCTTAAGAAGGGAAGGCATATCAACCAAGTTTTCATGGTAAGGGAGAACCAACATATTTTTATTTTGAATAAGGCTGGTTGTCCCTTTTTGGATTGTAAAAAGTATTTCTGGCAACTTTAAAAGATTTATCAATTACATTTCTTGGGTACTTTAAATCATTACCTATTTCATAAATTTTGGATATTTCCTCATCTATGAACTCAGGACTACAAATTCGTAAAGCTCTCAGAAACATTGATGAGAAAACAGACAGTTTGACTCTATCTTGATGCGAGGAATAATAGTGGACATAGGAACAGTTATTAGTAGGTTTTCTGTAAATTTTAAATTTGAATTCATTATTACCCTTAATAATTAAAACATCTAGAAAAGGCAATGAGTTATTTTCTTCAAACTCAACAGTAAAGTTTATTGAATGGGCTAAGCTATTTAATTTTCCAAGGAAATGGTGTATATCTACATTTTTGGGCATAAGACACAAATATCATCAACATATCTGAACCCTTTTGCTCTATTAGGGAGGATTGTGTTAAGTAACCTTGTTTCAAAAAATTCCATGTATAGGTTACTAAGAACAGGTGAAAGAGGATTTCCCATTGCCATACCAAACTTCTGAGTGTAAAATTTATCATTAAAAACAAAATTTTGCATCAACAATGCAAAGTTTAATAAGTTTAATGATAGTAGGAACTGGCAAAGGTAAATCATAGTTAACGAGTTCTTCAGATAAGAAACTTAATAAATCATCAACAGGAACTTTCGTAAACAAGGAAGTAACATCAAAACTAACCATGTTAAAATCATTTAGGTCAGTCAAGGAGCTTAATTTATCAACCAAGTCTATGTTGTTTTTAACATTAAAGTTAGAAATTTTGCCAACAATAGGGCTCAAAATATCAACAAGCCATTTGGATAATTTATATGAAACTGACCCTATGGAGCTAATAATTGGTCTGACTGGATTCCCTGGTTTGTGTGTTTTTATTAGTCCATACATGTAAGGCAAAGATGGATTAGTGGAAGTAAATTGTTTGACTAATTCATCTTTGCCTTTCAGTAGAAGTTTTATTGTTTTATTGAAATTGCTCCATAGGGTCAGTTTCATATAAATTATCCAAATGGCTTGTTGATATTTTGAGCCCTATTGTTGGCAAAATTTCTAACTTTAATGTTAAAAACAACATAGACTTGGTTGATAAATTAAGCTCCTTGACTGACCTAAATGATTTTAACATGGTTAGTTTTGATGTTACTTCCTTGTTTACGAAAGTTCCTGTTGATGATTTATTAAGTTTCTTATCTGAAGAACTCGTTAACTATGATTTACCATTGCCAGTTCCTACTATCATTAAACTTATTAAACTTTGCATTGTTGATGCAAAATTTGTATTAATGAAAATTTTACACTCAGAAGTTTGGTATGGCAATGGGAAATCCTCTTTCACCTGTTCTTAGTAACCTATACATGGAATTTTTTGAAACAAGGTTACTTAACACAATCCTCCCTAATAGAGCAAAATGGTTCAGATATGTTGATGATATTTTGTGTCTTATGCCCAAAAATGTAGATATACACCATTTCCTTGGAAAATTAAATAGCTTAGCCCATTCAATAAACTTTACTGTTGAGTTTGAAGAAAATAACTCATTCCCTTTTCTAGATGTTTTAATTATTAAGGGTAATAATGAATTCAAATTTAAAATTTACAGAAAACCTACTAATAACTGTTCCTATGTCCACTATTTTTCCCTCGCATCAAGATAGAGTCAAACTGTCTGTTTTCTCATCAATGTTTTCTGAGAGCTTTACGAATTTGTAGTCCTGATTTCATAGATGAGGAAATATCCAAAATTTATGAAATAGGTAATGATTTAAAAGTACCCAAGAAATGTAATTGATAATTTTTTTTAAAGTTGCCAGAAATACTTTTACAACCCAAAAAGGACAACCAGCCTTATTCAAATAAAAATATGTTGGTTCTCCCTTACCATGAAAACTTGTTGATATGCCTTCTCTTCTTAAGATTTTAATATTAAAGTTGTATTCAAAATCTCGATACAGAAAAAAACTTTTGATAAAGAATTCCCCCCCAAATGCTGATGGATGTGTCTATAAGATTCCTTGTAAAATTTGCGAAAAAGTTTATTACGGTAAAAACTGGTAAAAATCTCGAACTAAGATTAAAAAAACTAAATATAGCATTAGAACTGGACAAGATTCCAATGCTCTATTTATTCATGTAAGAGATTTTAACCATCCAATTGATTTTAAAAAAAGTTGAGAAAGTAAGTATAAAGCAAGTCCATGGTCGACGGGAATATAATTGAATCTTGTTTCATAAAAAGCAGTTTTTGACAATAATATGAATATTTTCCCTTTGGTTTATATAAATTAGATCCATTTATAATTAATAGAATTTGGGAAGAATTTAATAATACACTGGACAAATAATCTTTAAAATTTCTTATTTCTTGGGTAGAATAGTTTGTGGGGTGAGTTGTGCCAAGGACCTTTCCAAGTTGGCTCGCCGCGCGTCACGTGTTTAAACCGTTGTGGGATCTGATAGTGAGGTGCCGACCAGACCCCTTATATAGCTTCCTTGGATGCTTTACTTTCATAGTTCCTTGATAATGTGAGTAGTCACGAAAGCGCTTGGAATTTCTCTATTCTTTCAGAGTGGTTGTTTTGCATATATATATATATATATATTATATATATATATATATATATATATATATATATATATAATATATATATATATATAATATAATATATATATATAAATATATAAATATATAAATATATATATATAAATATATAATATATATATATATATAAATATATATATATGCAATAAGATCACAGTAAACAGGTGATTTCAGAATATGCAAAACAACCACTCTGAAAGAATAAGAAATTCCAAGCGCTTTCGTGACTACTCACTATTATCATAGTTCCTTGATAATGTGAGTAGTCACGAAAGCGCTTGGAATTTCTTATTCTTTCAGAGTGGTTGTTTTGTGTATGTATATATATATATATATATATATATATATATATATATATATATATTATATATATTATATATATATATATATATATATATATATATATATATATATATAACAATGTTTAATATGACAGTTTAGCTACGTATTACAAACATCTGACAATGTATTACAGATATATCTGATGCTGAATGTCTAAGCTTTTACACGTCACACCTGTAGTGAAAGACTGAGGCACTGGGTCTGTGTGAGAGGCGGTGGCCGGAGGCTACCAAGGGGTCGGGGTGACTCTTTTCTTGTTGCCAGCAAAAACTGCTTCATATCACCCTTAACAAAGAATATTTTATATTACTATACATGTAATTTTTTCATAAATACAAAACACCATATAAAAAGATGAATGTAGGAATTAATGAGCCATCTCCTATAATGTGGCACAGTACTTAAAATTCTATGCAACAAGTTAATCACTGATATTACAGTGCCTATCTTCGTGTTACAGGTGGAAGATACTGTATTAATTATAATGAATACAAAATTTTCTGTTTTGCTAAGCTCATATTTTAAAAATTCAATTAAGCCAAAAACTTTTGCATGGCATGTATTAATAAACATATAATTTTTTTTTAATATACTGGCTGTCTCCCACTGAGGCAGGGTGATCCAAAAGAGAAGAAAACTATCAAATTTTCTTCTTTTTATATTTAGTAATCTATACAGAAGGGGTTAATGGCTCTTGCTCCTGGCATTTTAGTTGCCTCTTAAGACATGCATGGTTTACGGAGGAAGGATTCTTTTCCACTTCCCCATGGAAAATGAATATACAAGTTACTACATCAAGACTCCTAATAAATAACTTACCCAGTCAGTGTACTGGGTGATAAGAAGGTGAGGAGTACGAGAGGTGCACAGGGCCAGGGTGGTGACCACGTTGGGATGTGCAGGACCACCAAACATAGCTGCTTCTCTACACACCTCTGCTAGTAATGTCTCATCCCTGGTGTTCACCACCTGATATTGGTACATCAAACATCTGAACTTTGAAATATGACTTGGAAAGCAGTGCTACTAAGGTAACTTTAAAAGCCTTTACACTACTTGTTATGCTTAATTTTATCAGCTATTTATGTATGAGAGCCATTAAATATATTTCTTTTTCTTTCAACACACTGGCTGTATCCCACCAAGGTGGGGTGGCCCAAAATAAAAAACAAAAGTTTCTCCTTTTACATTTAGTAATATATACAGGAGAAGGAGTTACTAGCCCCTTGCTCCCGGCATTTTAGTCGCCTCTTACAACACGCATGGCTTACGGAGGAAGAGGTAAGAGGAAATAAACAAGAACAAGAACTAGAAAGAAAATTGAAGAAAACCCAGAGGGGTATGTATGTATATATATATGCTTGTACATGTATGTGTAGCGTGACCTAAGTGTAAGTAGAAGTAGCAAGATGTACCTGAAATCTTGCATGTTTATGAGACAGAAAAAAGACACCAGCAATCCTACCATCATGTAAAACAATTACAGGCTTTCGTTTTACACTCACTTGGCAGGATGTTAGTACCTACCTGGGTGGTTGCTGTCTACCAACCTACTACCGACAATTAAATATATTTACTCTGATTATAACATTCATGGGAGAAGTGCTAAATCCATAGGAATAGGAATGTGAAATTATTAGGTTCAATCCAAAGAAAGGAAGGTCAAGTTCAATTCTTTATATCAAGAGCCCCTCACTGGCATCAAGGAATCTCTTGAGGGGTTATTTACCCTAAGGAAACCTCATTTCCCTGTTTATATGCTGTACAACAATAATGTATTATAATCCTGAAGCATCTCTTAATTCCATTAAAAAAGTCTTTCATTTTCTCATTTTTTAAGCATTTCCATATCTGAAAATTTTCATTAAAATTAAAATACACACAATTCAAAAGAATACCTTGACCATGACAAGTTTTTCTGGATCAGGGGGCACATCCTCTCCATCAGACTCCTCTGTCGAGTTTCTTAATCTTGCCAGCTGAACATCACCGAACTCACCACGTCCTGGAAGATAAAACACCCTCCTTAGTGAGAAAAACAAAGTAACAATTTTGATGAGACATTATATCATCTGTAGTATCAGCACACCTCTGGTAAGATAGTAATGGAGTGAGTGATGATGAAAGTTTCTTTTCTTTCTCAGATTGCCCTGCCTTGGTGGGAATGGCTGATGTGTTAAGAAAACAATATATACATGAATATATGTATACACACATATATTAGCATGTCAGATATAGCTTTCAATAATAAATGCCGTATAGTACAAAGAATCTATTTTATTACTAGTCAGAGTTTAAAGTGCAATAACATCCCATATCATTGGAGAATAATTTTAAGGTAGCAAGTTCATTCTTTGATTGGAGTATCACATGCAACTTCAGGCATATCATACAGCTACTAAGAACATTTTGTATACTCACCCTACTACTACATTCTGGTATAACATATGATACTTACCTAGTGTGAGAAGCACTTGAAGATTTTCCCTCTGTATGGTAGGTGTCTCTTGACCTAGTTGATTCACTGTATGATTAGAATCTTGTTTTGTATACAGATTTTCACTTGGGCCAGCATGAGCTGCACTCTGTGTCGAGGGTGAGGAATTGGGTTGTAACGGTGACGAATGCTGAGTGGAAACTGAAGATCCTCCTAAGGTTCTGGTTGATGCCTGTGATAGCCCCAGATGAGTGGAAGTACCCAGTGTGTGAGTGGACACCTGTGAGAGTTGCACCTGGCAGGAGTTATCCAGTTTATTGCCAGCCATAGTGGTGCCTGTGCCCATGTCTCGAGTCTCTGGCTCTCCCAAGCCTGGTATGGTGGAGTACACCAACCTCTCTTGCTCCTCAGGGTTTTGAGCTTCATCAACTCCATCACCTAAAAAGTATATCTTTCTTGATATTTAATCAATCAACTATAACATGCTTTAATATAACTGAATAAAAGCGGGTGACCTAAGAGTATTATATAACACTCAAGACATTAACCCTTAAACTGTCCAAACAGATCTATGTTCACATGCGTAGTGCTCCAAAAGTACATCTATGTTTTTCACATATTTTCAAATATAACAAGAAAAAAAATGTAGATCTAAGTTTTTTTACACGTTTTCAAATGTAAAAAATAAAAAGAAGCTCTATGTTTTTCTACATACTTTCAAATGTTGAAAAAACGTAGATCTATGTTTGGACAGTTTAAGGGTTAACATGTATATTCAATTTTACCTCGAGTGTGTTGAGGCGAGTGCTTTAATTTTTGTCGTCGCTGCCTGCAGTAGATGAGCATGGCACCTACCAAGGCCATGTAAGCTGCTGCTCCACCTACAGCCACACCCACAGTCCGACCCAATAGCTGCGCACTTTCCCCTGAAAGCGATGTTTGTTAAACTATAAAATCAAGTCCAGTACTGGGGTGCTGACCCTTGGAACAGCCTCCAGGCTGACTCCAGGTTGGCAGATGTTCATAATGACTATGATTATAATTTCAGAAGTTCAGTAAACTCGAATGTAGGAATTGAGAAGATTTTTAGGTCTTTCTTTCTTTCTTTCAACACACCGGCCGAATCCCACCAAGGCGGGGTGGCCCAAAAGGAAAAACAAAAGTTTCTCCTTTTACATTTAGTAATACATACAGGAGAAGGGGTTACTAGCCCCTTGCTCCCGGCATTTTAGTCGCCTCTTACAACACGCATGGCTTACGGAGGAAGAATTCTGTTCCACTTCCACATGGAGGTAAGAGAAAATAAACAAGAACAAGAACTAGAAAGAAAATAGAAGAAAACCCAGAGGGTGTGTGTATACATATGTTTGTACATGTATGTGTAGTGTGACCTAAGTGCAAGTAGAAGTAGTAAGACGTACCTGAAATCTTGCATGTTTATGAGACAGACAAAAGACACCAGCAATCCTACCATCATGTAAAACAATTACAGGCTTTCATTGTACATTCACTTGGCAGGACGGTAGTGCCTCCCTGGGCGGTTGCTGTTTACCAACCTACTACCTAGGATTTTTAGGTCTGTTGTCTAAAAAATTAATGATGGCCAGTTCCTCTAAGAAAAGTTACTCCTTACACAACATTGCTGCTTCAACAATATTGCAAAAACACATTTCAAGGTACTGAACTACTTATTAATAAAGACACTTGATCTAATGAAAGAAATTGTTTTAAATAATAATTTGCAAAATGGGTTCTAGAGAATTAATTAGTTTCAAGAATAAATTGATTTCACCATAAATCCCAATCCCACAAGAATAAATCAATATCTTATAATGAACCACAGTTTGAACATCATCCTAACATCCCTCATCCTGTTTCCTGACAAATCTTACTTAACCTAACCATCTTAACATCGCATAGGAGTCCCACCAGAGTCTCACCTGTGACGGTGACAGAGATCTCTGCCCTTACTAGTCCGCCCATGTTGCCAGCTGTGCACCCATACAGCCCCCCATCCTCGCGTCGTACCCCTGTCACCTGCAACGTCCCATTTCCATGCACCTCAACTCTGTACGTGGGTAAGCATACAAAGTGTTTGCATCAAACACACTTAGATAAAAAAAAAAATATTCACTGTATCAGGCATATTAGTTAATGTTAGTAAAGTCCACAACTATTTTCATTCACATGAAATTCAGTATTTGCTATATGACACTTTTTGGCAGTTTCTTTCATTCATCCATCCATAGCACAATGAAAAACTTATGTGATTTCTAAATCTGTGTTTATTTAACTGGAATACACTACAGTAGTACCTTGGTATGCGACCTTAATTCATTCTAGAAGGACGTTTGCATGCCAATATGTTCGAGTACCAAACGAATTTGTTCCCATTAGGAATATTGTAAAGTAGATTAATCCGCTTCAGACCCCCAAAAATACACTTACAAGAACACTTACAATAATACACTTACATAACTGTTCAAGTTGGGAGCATGTCGTATACCGAGGTACCACTGTACGTGTATTTTGAGTTCTGTCTTGGTTAGATACATACATATTTTGTGAAAAAATTACTATGTTCATTACTACTGCAACTCACTTAACAGAGCAGTGGAGCCCAATTCCTGAATCAATTATGTTTCTAGCATTTTGATTGCTATCTTCAGTGCATAGATATATACAGTGAACAAAAACTTATGAAACTGAAAGAAAAAGACTTGCTAACCTTTCAGGATCAAAGGCATTTGTAGTATGGTTGTAGTCCCAGTGTATTGAGGGTTTTGGGCTGCCACGAGCAAGACACTCCAGGACCAGAGTGCCTCCCTTGTCCACCTGCACTGGTCCCTGGGTCACCCACTCCAGTACAGGGCTCTCTGAACATCATCAGTTAGAACACTAGATCACTGAAGCAGATATACTGGCCCATGGTGGGCAGCTTCTATACCCACACATAGTACAAAGAATCATGACAGTAAGCTAACTGGCCCATGATGGGCAGCTCGTATACCCACACACAGTACAAAGAATCTTAGCGATACACTTCCTGGTCCATGGTAGGCAGGTCCTATACTCTCAGATGGCTCACGTGAGGCAGGACCTACATTACTCACATCTAAATATTCCCACACACATCATTTGATGATCTATTTTTAAAGTTAGTACTCAGCAGCGTGTTCCATACATTTACAGCTTCACTGCCAAAGCAGGGCTTTCCTAGATCAATTTTAAACCTGAATTTACTCAACTCAAATCTACTGTTGGAAGCTCTGTAATGGTTAGATATTTCACGAACACAACATTTTCACTCGCGTGAATTGAACAGTTAAGTCAAAGGGTTTCCTCAGTTTTGTTAAATCTTGAGTAATTATGTGTACTGTGGGTTCACAACCAGTGGTTTCAATCATAAATATTTATTCAAGTCAAGGGCATCATGTAAATAAGGTATTTTGAGTTTTTTTTTTTTCAGATCCACCCCCTCAAGTAGATACCGTATTTTACAAGGATTTACTCAAAGGTTTCATTAATAATCATGCAATATGCAAAAGCTTTAACTGATAAGTGCTTTTTTTTATTTATATAAATCCCCTAAGGTTAAAAACTGACATTAAAGTTTGGATGTTCCAGAATAGAATATTTATGACAAAACGAACAGAGAACCAAAAATTGTTATCTATACATCAAGGTGCATATATTTTATGCATACTTTCATTGTACAATCCAAAGTTTCTGCTTTAAATAGTATCCAGTACAGCCTTTGAACATCTTAATCTGTCTATGGGTGGTAGCCATATCTGCAACACGAATCTGATGAATTTTAGCTACCATCAGTAGTACTAGTAAGCTTATTTAGGTACAAGTATACTTAAGTACAATTATCATACATGGTGTAAATTACATGTAAATTACATTAATTTTGCTTACCAATAACAGCAAGAGTGATGGTGGTGTTGATGGAGCCCTGAGGAGAGGTTGCGATGCATACATACTGTCCACTGTCTCGCAACTCTGCCCCCAACACCTCCAGGCGACCATCCACTATGCTCTCTCTCCCCACCTCCACTATCTGCGGACAGTTAACATAGTTAATTCTTAATCAAATTAAATCATGTACAGAAGATACCTAGATGCCAATAAAGGTAACTGGTCCAATGAATTGAAGTTACTTGCCACATGGAAAATATTTGTATGTAGGAATCTTTATAGCGTATGTAAATTTCTACTTTAGTTATAAACACATACATTACAGATTCAAGTTAAATTCATACAGGAATCATACATTTTTTGCATATTATTACAAGATGTACTGTATATGGTGGGGCACCCAGACACAGATTGCTAGATGGTGGGTAAGAAATAGAGAAATTATCTCTCCACTCTCCCAGGCTGCCAGTAGACACAACAACCATACAAGGATGATTCAAGTCGGTAAGTTGGTAAGTTTATTTAGATACAGGTACACACAAGAACAATTATCATACCTCTTTACTTGTGTAAATTACCTAGGATAACCCCCCAAAAAAGTCAAAGTAACTTATTTCCACTGGGGTCATTGTAACAGCAGCTGTAAGATGCAGTAAAAATCAGTCATGATTATAAACTTAAAAATTAAAACAGCTAAGTAACTGAACTGTGTGACAATCAGTCACAATAAAAGGAGGTGTTCAGTTGCACAAATTCTCATTAGGGAGGGAGAGGGCTAAAACCACACCCAGAGGATTGACATCATGAGATGCCCAATGAGAGCCGAGAACGTCCTGTCATCATGAAAACTATTCAAATCTATAATATTTCAAGTCCTTTAATAAATTAATCACTCAAGTGAAATCTTCTGAATAACTACTGAATTTATTCTCATGTTGAAAAGGCAGTGTTAAACTGATACCTAAATCAAGGATAGGTGCAAGTTCATTTAGGCACAGGTATACGTAAGTACAATTACCATACAGTGTAAATTACCTAGGATAACCCAAAAAAGTCAGACAGCATAATATAATAATAATATAATATCTTTATTTCTACAAGTACATGTACGAGGTATACAGGCCTAGCTGACATCAATGACATGCTGTACTACTATATAGAAAGCCGCTTGTTATGCTGACCATTGTGGGTAAATTAAGTCAGTTTTGTCCCAGGATGCGACCCACACTAGTCGACTAACACCCAGGTACCCATTTTATACTGATGGGTGAACGGGGACAGCAGGTGCCTTATGGAAACACGTCTCTAATGTTTTCCAGCTGCACCAGAGATTCGAACTCCGGACCTCAGTGTGTGAACCGAGTGCACTAACGATCGAGCTACAGGACACACCTATAAGCGACCAGGAATATTAAGAATCAAGTACCATGAGACAGGAGAAATTTCTGTGTAGGTAGATTCAGTGTACGGCACCAGACAGCACATAACTGTATGGTAACAGTAAATGGGAATAGAGTGCTTTGTAACTGGTGGATCAAGACCTGGAGTTTTAATTCTTAAGGTTATTATATTCGACTGATTTCTACTATATCTTACAGCCAGAGTGTTAAAAAAATGAAAGAACTGGCATATAAAATTAAACTGTATTTAGAAATGGAAATATTATACATATTTCACATACATATATAGTCTGGCCTGGTGGTTAACGCTCTCGCTTCACACGGTGAGGGCCTGGGTTCGATTCCCAGCCAGAGTAGAAACATTGGACGTGTTTCTTTCCACCTGTTGTCTATGTTCCCCATCAGTAAAATGGGTACCTGGGTGTTAGTCGACTGGTGTGGGTCGCATCCTGGGACACTGACCTAAGGAGGCCTGGTCACAGACCGGGCCGCGGGGGCGTTGACCCCAGGAACTCTCTCCAGATAAACTCCAGATACATAAAAGTGACATGATAAGCTGTACCTGCAATAAAATATTTAACAAATAGGTTAGTAACAATCTGTAAAATGTGTAATATTAGGGATGTCTAAAACTGATAACAGTCTATAGGTGAAAAAATATTAGTGGTATTTATATAGCATATTTGAACATATTTTATAATAAGAAATGGGAGAGAGATCATTATATAATACAACAGTGCCAAGGAAAATGTGATGACTCGTGTCAACAGTGCCAAGGAAAATGAGGGATGACCCGTGTCAACAGTGCCAAGGAAAATGAGGGATGACCCGTGTCAACAGTGCCAAGGAAAATGTGATGACTCATGTCAACAGTGCCAAGGAAAATGTGATGACTCGTGTCAACAGTGCCAAGGAAAATGTGATGGCTCGTGTCAACAGTGCCAAGAAGGAAAATGTGATGACTCGTGTCAACAGTGCCAAGGAAAATGAGGGATGACCCATGTCAACAGTGCCAAGGAAAATGAGGGATGACCCGTGTCAACAGTGCCAAGGAAAATGTGATGACTCATGCCAACAGTGCCAAGGAAAATGTGATGACTCGTGTCAACAGTGCCAAGGAAAATGTGATGACTCGTGTCAACAGTGCCAAGGAAAATGAGGGATGACCATGTCAACAGTGCCAAGGAAAATGAGGGATACCCGTGTCAACAGTGCCAAGGAAAATGTGATGACTCGTGTCAACAGTGCCAAGGAAAACGTGATGGCTCGTGTCAACAGTGCCAAGAAGGAAAATGTGATGACTCGTGTCAACAGTGCCAAGGAAAATGAGGGATGACCTGTGTCAACAGTGCCAAGGAAAAAGAGGGATGACCCGTGTCAACAGTGCCATGAAAAATGTGATGACTCGTGTCAACAGTGCCAAGGAAAATGAGATGACCCGAGTCAACAGTGCCAAGGAAAATGAGATGACCCGTGTCAACAGTGCCAAGGAAAATGAGGGATGACCCGAGTTACCAGTGTTAAATAAATCAATGGTTCACCAGACACTCCTAAGTACCACAGGAAGACTCACCTGGTTGGAGGAGAGTCGGTGCCACGTGATGACTGGCATCTCTGCCCCCCGTGCCTCGCAGGGTATGGTAATGTTGGCACCCACCTCCACCCGCACATCATGGGGCAGTGGAGAGAATTTGAGCCTTTCTGACCACACATAACACATCGTTATAAGTAGGTTTATTTATGTACAGGTACACATAAATACAGTTACACAAATTATCATACATAATACATATGTGTAAATTACCCAAGATAACCCCTATAAAAAAGACTGATTTGACAAAGTGACTTGATTTCCATTGGGATCAGCAAGAAAGTATATTTCCATTGGGTTCTTAAGTAAGTTTATTTATAAAGGAACAGGTGCACATAAGTATAATTGTCATACATAGTGTAAATTACCTAGCATAACCCAAAAAAGTTAAAGGTTAATTGGTTATTTGGATGGTTAATTTGAGTTTAGAGACTATCAACTACCCAAGAGGATCATTAAGACTGCATGTTGCCTGTTCCTCACTAGTCAAGAATAATTTAATACCCAAATAGGGATTAAAGTCAATTCTGTGTACTATATACGCTAAGAGACATACATCTCTGTGTATATTCTTCTATCTTGAAGTAGTATGCACCGTAAATGAAGTGTGAAAATTATGAGAAGCTTCCGACCTTGAACCTTTTATTTATTTATTTATTTGAACATGATACAGTGAGGTACAAAGTTATTACAGTGCAATATGCCAGAGTCCCTTGTATGCAGAGCATTATGGACAGGCTTAAAATTAACTTAAGATTAACTAAGCAATGATGTATTCAGTGGTAAAAACATTATTGTATACAGATAGCAATTTAGTACAAATGAGTATTACAAAGACAGGTCATATGGTCATTTACTGTGTTGCTGAGCATTCAGTAGAATGGAGTATTCTGTTAGGTAATGTAATTAAAAAATAAAGTTTGACTGGGTCACAGGTTAGACATTTATGAGATACAATAATGAGAAACATTTACGAGATACAATTTATGAGATACAATTATTCAGTATTTATTTAGTTGTGGGTGAGTAAGTGATTTTTGAGAAGAGACTTGAATTTATAAACAGACAGTGTTTCTTTTATATTCACAGGTAATGAATTCCAGATTTTAGGGCCTTTTATGTGCATTGAGTTTTTGCATAGCGTGAGATGGACACGAGGAACATCAAAGAGTGATCTGTGCCTTGTGTTATGGTCATGTGTTCTGTTGAGGTTGGTAAGGAGACGTTTGCGGGGAGGGTTTATATCAGAGTTAAGTGTTCTATGTATGTAGTAGGTGCAGTAATAAGTATGGATGTTTTGAATGGTGAGTAGGTTTAGAGTTTTGAATATTGGTGGAGTGTGCTGCCTGTAGTGGGAATTTGTTATTCTGACTGCAGCCTTTTGTTGGGTAATTAATGGTCTGAGATGGTTTATTGTTGTTGAGCCCCATGCACAAATTCCATAGGTGAGATAGGGGTAAATAAGTGAGTGATATAGGGCCAGGAGGGCTGACTGTGGAACATAGTACCGTATCTTCGATAGTATGTCTTGGAATTTTTTTTGGAAATTTGTTGTATATGTGTTTGAAATTTGAGTCTATTATCAAGGTGGATTCCTAAGAATTTTCCCTCTGTGAGTTTTGTGATAGGTGATCTGTTTATCATTATGTTAAGAGGGACGTCTGTAGCTGTTACCAAACTGAATGAAGTAGGCTTTGTCAATGTTTAGAGTAAGTTTGTTAGTACTCATCCAGGTAGATATTTTCTGTAATTCGGTATTTACAGTAATGGCTAGCATGACTGGGCTCGGGTGAGAGAAGACGTATGTAGTGTCATCTGCAAATAGTGTGGGTTTGAGTAGTTGCGATGCATTTGGCAGGTCATTTATGTATATGAGAAAGAGAAGAGGGCCTAGGACACTTCCCTGTGGGACACCAACTGTGACTGGCTGTGCTGAAGAGTTTGCCCCGTTTGTGTACACATATTGGCTTCTGTTGCTAAGGTAAGACTTGAGGTAGTTGAGGGAGTGCCCTCTTATACCACAGTGCGACAATTTTATATGGAGCAAGTCATGGTCAACTGTATCAAAAGCTTTACGTAAGTCTATGAAGATCTCCAGTGGGACTTCTTTTTTCTCTATTGCAGTGTATATGTGTTCTAGCATGTGTATAATAGCATCATTAGTATTTTTATTAGACCTGAACCCAAATTGACAAGGGTTGAGTATGTTGTGGGAGATGAGGTAGGAATAGATTCGCTTATGAATTAATTTTTCGAAGATTTTAGAGAGAGGATGTAAGGTGGATATTGGCCTATAGTTATTCAAGTCTGTTTGGTCTCCTTTATGGATCGGGGTGACCCTTGCTATTTTGAGAACTGTAGGAAAGGTAGAGGATTCTATGGATTTATTAAAGAGTGTTGCAATGATTGGTGATAGTACTTGTGACGCTTTTTTGTATATAAAGGGTGGTAAGGTATTTAAATCTCCTGTCTTGTTTTTTAGTGTGTTGATAATAAGGGAGACTTCAGTAGGGTTAGTCGGAGCAAGGAACAGTGTGTTCGTTATTAAGGTCCAAGGACAGAAAACTTCTTGATAATGACCTTATTACTATACAGTACATTATACAACTGATGTGAATTGACATGTTTAAACTGCTTTATAACAAGCCCTCTGTTATGCAGAGCATTTTTGACAGCCTTTAAAAGTGATTTATAACTGCTAAACAATTACATAATTAAGTTAGTAAATAGATGCATTCGTATCCATTTCCCTCAGGTTCTGGGCTGTCAATTACCCGAGTACTACTATGATAAATTATGCTATAAGCGTTGACATTAGCAGCAAGAACATGAAGAAAAAGGAAATCTTTATCCCGTTAAGTGTCACGTGGCCTGGTGGCAAAAGCTCTCGCTTCACACGGTGAGTGTCCAGGCTCGATTCCCGGCGAAGGGGTAGAAACATTGGGTGTGTTTCCTTACACCGGTTGTCCATGTTCACCCATCAGTATAATGGGTACCTGGGTGTTAGTCGACTGGTGTGGGTCGCATCCTGGGACAAAACTGACCTAATTTGCCCGACATGCTCTGCCTAACAAGCGGCTTTCTATACAATAGTATGTCATTGACGTCAGCTAGGACTGTATGCCTTGTACATGTACTTTTAGAAATAAAAATATTATACGTATTATTATACAGTTTTTATTGCAATCACAATAGTTACCCATTAGGAGTACGTTAACAGTACATTTTCTTTGATGTTAAAAAGCATGTTTCATTTTTAACCACTAACTTGTAATTTTTTCTATCATTTAGTATAGTTAGTCATTAAAATTTATCCGTTTTCTTCGGTGTAAATCAATATTTTACGAATAGCTAAGATGATTGTGTTTCGATTATTAACTTGAGAGTTAATAACTATCATTCTGTTTGTCTTATTTCCATTTGGGTCTGTTTATCCTCTCCCTCAGGATGCAACCCTCACATAAGTATGTACTTACGGCTACATAAACACCAAACTCAATTTCAAATTTTTGTTTCTTTGCAAAGTTTATAATAAGTAAGTAAGTTTATTCAGGTATACACAAATACAGTTACATAGAATTATCATACATAGCAGCATATGTGTAGAGAACCTGGCATAACCCAAAAAAGTCAGACAGAGTGACTTATTTCCATTGGGGTCCTTTTACCTTATTATTATAATATAAAGGTTATAATATTTTCTTATTATTCTATAATGAAGATAACATCTTATTATCATACTAAAAAGACTATCCACTACACGAGAGTCATTAAGACTATCTACAATATGAGGGTCATTACTAGGAATAAGGTAAAATTTACACGTATGTTAGCTAAAAAATAGAAAATCATTCCCCTCCCTTTCTGTAGCTACGTTCATCAGACACCTTTTGGCAGTCTTCTTGAACTGGTTCATGCTATGACTGGCTTTGACATGTGCGGGCAGTCTGTTCCATTCCTTTATTGTTGTACAATAAAAGGTGTTTGAAGCCTGGCCAATGACTGTGGGTACTACAAAGTTGTGCTCTCTTCCGCTAGTACTATGATTGCTTTGGTTCCCAACCTTGACAAAATTGACAGAAAAATATTCTGGACACTGTTTGTGAGCAATTTTATAAACTTGATTTAGCTTCAGTTGTTTTACTCTGTCTTCAACATTCAGCATATCCAACTGTTTTAATTCATTCTGGCCTACATGCTCTCTTGGTCCCAACCCCAGGATGAATCTTATGATTTTGTTCTGGGTGATTTGCAGTCTATCTTTCAGTTTTTTTGTCAAGGCAGAGTACCATGAAGAGCAAGCATAATCCATATGGCATTGTATAAGGGCTAGACATAGAGTCCTGCTAGCCTCAGTAAGTAGACACTGTGCTTGTCTATACAGGAACTTCAGTCTGGCATTCGCTTTCTTTACTACACTGTTCCCTATCAATTCTCCTGACATGCATGGGTCAAAGGGGATTCCCAGATATTTTACTGATGAAACCAAAGTGATGGGCTCCTCATTACACTGGACATTAAAATTATTTACCCTTCTCAGTTTATGTTTCGTGTCAAAGAGAATGGCTTCAGTTTTCCCGAGGTGTAATGAGTTTGTTGTCTACTAACCATTTGCTGCAGGACTCCAGTTCCAGTGTTATAACATTAGCTATATCTTGTGGGTCTTTACCTGACACTAACACAGCACTGTCATCTGCATACAGTAGGAGTTTGCACTTGACACTGATAGGCATGTCATTGACATAACTTAAGAATAATAAGGGACCCAGAATACTACCTTGGGGAACTCCACATGCTATCGGCAGGGGGTTCTGATTCCGTTTTGTTGATTTTGGCAATTTGTCTCCTGTTGCTAAGGTAGGACTTGAACCATTCTACAGAACCTATACCGACAGCTTGAAGTTTCTTAAATAATATATTGTGGTTGACAGTATCGAAGGCCTTTTGCAGGTCTAAGGTTACAATACCTATGAGGTTCCCCTTTGACATTTCAGTTCTCAGGTAATCCATCAGATTAATTAGGGAGGTGTTGGTTGAGTATGATCTTCTAAAGCCCGATTGATAGCTATGGAGAATGTTGTTGTCATTAAGGTACTTAACTACTTGAGAGTACACCGCCCTCTCTAGAATTTTGGATATTATACTGAGTATACTAACAGGCCTATAGTTGCTTACATCAGACCTACTATTTTTCTTGAGGATAGGAGTAACTCTGGCCTCCTTGAACCCCCCGGTACGGTATTAGTGGTGATGGCAGATTTATTATGTGAGCAATAGGGATTGACATTTTCAGAAGCATCATCTTTTAGGAACTTAGACTAGATGTTATCCGGGCCAGTGCATCAAAGTTGGGTTTAACCTGTTTATTTTCTTTTTAAATAAAGTCATGAGATACACTACTAGTTGACAACTGTTTGGGGTTACCCCTTTATTGGTATGTATGTTGAAACTTATCTTCTGTGTTAAAGGTATTTGATGCAGCTGGTAGTTTACTTACTATGTTGATGCGGCAGTTTGTGTAGAAGGAATTAAAGCAATTTGCCACCTTTGTGTTTCGTGGCATACCTCAAAACGATAGTGATACTTGTTAGACCTATCTACTGGCTTATGGCTATACCACAACTGTTTTAGTTGTTACCAGAGCTTCAACTTTTGAGCAATAGTGCTTTGCCTTTGCTCCTTTTATAAGTCTCTGCACTTTGTTCCTCAATCTTTGGAATTCGTTTAGTGCTGAAATTATCCTGTCTTTTTTGCTTTAAATCTTTTTAGCAGCTGGGCTCTGAATTTCATATTATCTAATATCTCAGTAGTCTTTCCCGGGTTCAGTTCTTCGTTTAAAACCTAACCTCTTTAACTGGTGCAAAAATTATCAAGGATGGTACTGAACATTGTATTGAATTTTTCCCAGGCATCGTTACGTCCGTGCAATTGTTATCTCTGTCCAGTCACAATTTTGTAACCTATTTACCAGTGTTTCTTTACTGTAGTTTCTAGTTGACCTCATTTTTATTGTCCTGTGTAGGCCTATCCTATCCCTAGTGATTTTCCCCAGTGCAGTAAATGATGAAATGATCACTAAGGCCTGTGGTAATGACGCCTGACTGACTAATGTTCTCAGAACGGTTTTCAAAGTATGTGGTCAGTTAGGGTGGCTGAGAAAATGTGTGATCCCGGGGTTGGGGTATTAATTAGTTGAGTGTAACTATTTATAACCCAGAATTTGCTTATACCTTTTGCATAGCCGTTATATTGCTGCTGAAAACATATTGAAGTCTCCCAGTATTATTGTCTCGCAATTGTTTTCAATCCGGACAATACTACTCTGGGGAAAATCTTCTAAGAACTGGTCCTGGGTAGGAGGGCGGTAACTAGTTCCTACTAGATGGGTTTGGTCTTGGGAAGCAGCACTTCAAAACCCTAGAATCCCAGTTTATTGTTATTTAAATCTTGGGTTTTTAAGCTAAGTCATTTCTTATGTAGGCACATACCCACCACCCTTTCTGTTCCATCTAAGCGTTTTTATATTGTGATTTACATATAAAATATTTAAGACAAAAGAAAACCACGAGCATGCCTGAGCATTTCGGGGCACCAGTCAAAGGCAACGGCAACAAGGGCAACAACAGGAGTAGCAACAGCAGTGGAGCTCTACCTACCGTTTATGTTTTGTTCAAGCCATATAATGAGGCTTCCATAGATTTTTAGTTACTGGTGTGATCTTGTCAATTAATTCTGCATTTCTGATGTCTTTGTATCAGAAGAATCGCACTTCTATAACCATTTAGTTGCCCCAGAAGCTTTCGTTTGAGAGCAGAATGAATATATTATGTTCTTGCCATATATCATTTCATTAATATGGCCTACGTAAGGATGTAATTTCGTGTAATTATTGTTATACCCTGCATTTCCGCTAATGCCTTCTCAACCCTCTCTTTTCTCGACCTTTCTTCAGACCTTCTCTACCGATTCTTGCTTAGTTGTGGCTTGACAATGGTCCAGGATGGCCCGAAACGTCGTCATAAGTTTTCCCCTCTTAAGTGTGGGTTTATTTGTAATTCGTTCCAGCCATGGTACTGTGACTTGTATTCTTTTGTCTTCTTTATCAAGATTATAATATTAATGTTTAGACCGCTCACCTGTGACTGTGAGTTTGAGAGGCGGGGTGATGAGTGGCGGGTGACCAGCAGTGACGACCACACAGGAGTAGAGACCTCGGTCCTGCATGCGAGCCCAGCGGATCCTCAACACCGACACACCTTCTGTCACCTCCTCACCCATACCTGTCACCATCACACGATAATCATCCACGCTTACCTGAAACACATTACACCTTATTCTGGGGCACCTGGTGAGGATGCTGGCACAGGGCTTTCAGTCCAAGTATCTATAGATACTCTTTCCTTTCTTGTATCGAACCTTGTTGCTACCCATTTCTCCTTCAATATAATACAGTAACTGGGGCACTTTGGACGCATTCATGAAGTCACATGGAATGCATAGGTGATTTCTTACTTCCTCATCTACCATATAAAGGCACATTTCACACTCACAACACAGATATCACCTTAGTGGTGGTTGTTGTGGCTCCTTTTCTTTCACTTTTAAGTAATATTACTTCACAAACAACACACACACAGACACACACACAGACACACACACAGACACACACACAGACACAGACACACACAGACACAGACACAGACACAGACACACACACAGACACAGACACACACACACACACACACACACACACACACACACACACACACACTCAACTAGGTGAGTACACTCACACAATCACACAATTATGATTATATACAACTCAAGCAAACTTTTCACAGCCTACCACTCACTGTATGACCCCCTACAGGTTCAGCGCTTCCCATTGAATACATTATTATCAATAATCATAGTTATATCAAAGACAAGCAACAAAAAAACGAGATAATTCCCACTCTAGAAAACTCTAACTCTCTCTCTCTCTCTCTCTCTCTCTCTCTCTCTCTCTCTCTCTCTCTCTCTCTCTCTCTCTCTCTCTCTCTCTCTCTCTCTCTCTCTCTCTCTCTCTCTCTCTCTCTCTCTCTCTCTCAAGATTCCATCAGAGTGATGGAGCGTACCGGGCGGTTGTTGTGGGTCCAGCTGACGTTGGTATATGGTCTTGGTGTAGCGTCCACACGACACTCTAGACGGGCCGTCTCCTCTTCCAGCACAGACACACTTCCCGTCACCAACTGAGCCACAGGCTTACCTGAGGGAGACACAAGTTTACGAGTCAGTATGCACATTTGTGTAAAACAGGTGAGCACCACTAGGTAGCGCATGGAGGATAGTCTTTCCACCACTATTCGTGCTGGATGACACACTCAAGTACATTATATATATATATATATACATTATATATATATATATATATATATATATATATATATATATATATATTATATATATATATATATATATATATATATATATATATATATATATATGTCGTGCCGAATAGGTAAAATTGGTCAATTAACAAGAACTCATTTAAGATTAAATCCTTTCTAAATTTTTCTTATTACGTTTAAAGATACATTTTTTTCCATTTATGTTAATGTAAAGATTAATAACTTTGTACCAAAAGAACCTTAGAAAGCTTTCCTTACCTTAATATAACAAGCGCAATTTAATTTAGCCTAATCCAACTAAATATATTTTAGATAAGTTTACAGTAATTTAATGATAAACAAACACAATGAAATATGTTTATTTTCGTTAGGTTCAGAATGATTTTTGCGAAATTATTACATACACAAATTTTTGCTTGCCTTATTCGGCAACAAGAGCGTTGCAATTTAAGCCCAGATCGTAAGTTATTCGGCATGACATACATATTATGCTATAGTTACCCTTTCACAGTGCCTTCCCTTCACCTGGCCCGGTGATTTACCTCTTCCTTGTTCCCTCCTCAGCCATCCCTTCCATGTATCCTCTGATCCTCTAACTTATTCCCCTGAAGACTCAATACTCACGGGTTACCACCAGCTGGAGTGAGACTGAGGTGTTGCCGGCCAGGTTAGAGGCGACGCAAGTGAAGGTTCCAACGTGCTGGAAGGTTGCATCCTCCACCACCAAGGCTGTGCCTTCCACCCTGACGGAGCCTTCCTGCTGGGGTGGCTGTAAGTGGGACCACACCCAGGATACCTGCGGGCGGGGAAGGCCAGCGGGAGGCAAACAGGTGACCTGCAACATCCCACCCGCGCCCACAACGTGGGTGTTGAGGATAGACGCTCCAGGCTCCAGCGTGGGCCGCATCTGTCCGTCCAGATCTGTCACACAAGCACACACGGGGAAGTGAGAATGCCATTCGAGCGATATAATTACGCTAACACTGTTTCGCTCCCAGTAGAGGCTTCAGTCATGATGAAGTTCTCTACGCAGGGCGAAACATTGTCCCAGTAAAACTTTGTACTCTTACTTGTGACTCTGGTTTCATAATTATCGGCTCTGGTTTCGGATTCACCATCATTCAGTAAATACCTGTCCTCCCACAATCGTACTGACATTACACTTCAAATGACCCTGTGAACTGCAACATTCGTCAATTATGCAATTTTTTTTTCAACTAAGTGGTTGCTCACTTTTCATTTTAAGCGTTTTGAAATCATATTTGATTTTACCCAATTTTGGTTTGGCAGATTATGAAAAATATATTCACGCAGCATTCACATGACTGATTATTAATGTGCACTTAACACTGCCTTCGTACAACACTGAACAATTGTTCCATTGTGGCGTAGTGGAGGGAGGACACTTACAGGCCAGGATGATGGAAGCGGCGTAGGATGCGTGGTGGGCGCGGTGAGGATGCACACCCACACACCTGTACACGCCCTCGTCACCCAAGTTGGCAGCTGTTATTACTAACGTCCCATTCTTCAGTACCTGGCGCCTAGGGACGGGTAAATAATATAACCCATTATGTTACTGGTCTGTTATGTGGGGGATGGACGGTGTTACCTGGGACATAAAAATAGTGCTTTGTAATATTTCTAAATTATGTACAATCACTCATCACACTGATCACCAGCATTTTAAAATTATTAGATGAATTATACGTTCCTTCATATAATTAAGTTATAAAAATATAAAAATCAAGGAAAATTACGATAAGACATAGCATCCAGGCTACTTAATATTGATAATTCCCGAGAATTATGAAGAAGGATAATTATATAAATTGCATGGGAGCCCCGTTTGGGTGAATTTATAGGCGTATGTAATTTCCATCATATCTGTTGATTTCAGGTTGGTAAGTGACACAATGTGATGTACTATAATTCGACAACCCTTCCCTTGTGTGTGTGTGTGGTGTGTGTGTGTGTGTGTGTGTGTGTGTGTGTGTGTGTGTGACGCTGGAAGAGAAAAGAACTAGAGGAGACTTGATCACGATATACACGATATATACGATTTTCATACACAAGATCACTCGCCTGGTATTATTTGTGAGGGGACCGGCATCACGGAGATACCAGCGGATGACTGTGGACTCCTCGTAGCGGCAGTGGAGGGACGCTTGTCTTCCAGGACCCACCACCAGCGACTCCGGCACCACCTCCACACTTGGCACTCCAGCGTCTGTTGAGGAAGCGTGGCCCTCTTTACGTAAGGTGAGGACTATAGTACTTTTTTACCTACGTCATGCGAATGTCTGGTATACGTAAAGATATTTAGCTGTGTCTAGGGGAAAGTAGTGACATTATTTAGCTGTGTCTGGAAGAGAAATGCTGGATTTCTCAGCCTCATCATTCCTACCTCCCTCCAAGCACTTGTCGTGAAACCGGACTAAACTTACGCACTATTCAACCATACACAATTATCTCCCGGGAAACTTAGGTCTCGAGACACTCCCCAGATAGGGAGCCAAGGCCGGGTCACCACTACTTGGAAAAGACCCGGGCCGGGAGAATACCGGCGAATAAAAAAAAAAAAAAAATCTCCCGTCAGTATCACTCTGTACCCTGATGGATGTTCATTCTGTTGTTCCTTCGTGAAGATCACAACAGAAAGAAGTAAAAAGGGTAACATGCTTGCCCTCGAAATCTAACATAAACTAACCATATCTAATCCCACTTTATTTAATCAACTCAACTTAATCTATCTCGCCTAATCTAATCCACCCTAATTTAACCTTATCAAAACTATTTTCGTTATAATAAGGCTCTCTTGGATTTCATATTCCCTGCCTTGGCACAACTTCCGTGTATCTGGGTATGGAACTCGCGTGCCCGCATGAGCCGGACCTCAGGCCACAGGCATGAGGACCTATTCTTGAACTGACTAAGTCTCTCACCTCTCCATAGGACCTAGCTCTGGCTGTCCTCTATGCTCTGCTCTAGTGAACCGTGACTTTCCCAGTATCCTGCTCACCAGTTACCTAGACAATCAACCCTGCAAACTTCACATAATCCAATCTAACCTGGCGTAACCTAACCTATCCTTTCCTAACCTCCAAATCAACGCCCTGGAAATCAAACGAAATCCAGAAGACGTTTTGGTCCATGCTGGACCGATATACAGACTAGCTTCCATTCCAAATCTGGGATTACTTGTTAACTGTTCCAGCCACGGTTCATGGTACTGTATTCCAAACGCTGTAGTGATCCCACAATGTCCACCAACTTACCTGGTATGGCAAGGACGAAAGGATGGTGTGTGGTGGTGGTGGTGAGGTAGATGGGTCTCACAGACTCCTGTAGGGCGGCGCTGTGCTTGTGGATGGTGGCAGCGCAAGTGTACACGCCGTTGTGCGTGGCGGCGTCGAAGGCGCTGACGGTGAGCCGACGCCTTGATACCGCTAGTCCCGGCACCGCTGACGCCAGTACTCCGTTCCTGAGCGCCGTGATTAATAATAATAATAATAATAATAATAATAATAATAATAATAATAATAATAATAATAATAATAATAATAATAATAATAATAATAATAATAATAATAGCATATGTAACATACAGAATATTTAATGTTATACATATCACGCAAGATACATAATACATATTATACATAATTATGCTGTTGTTTGTAGTAGGTTAAGCGAGAGTAACAAGACTGACTCAGCCTTATACCTCAGCCATATGTACGCATGATTATTTTCATATAGACCACATATTGTGACACACTTAAGGAACCACTCATAATGCATCACTCAAGAAAGCTCACTCGAAGACGAGTGCGCCTGAAGAAATTCCCTTATTGTTTTTTTTTATTATTAATGTAAAGTGTTAAACTAGTATGGGTAATTCACTGCAAGAGCTGGTGGAGGCTCGAGTACAATAGGTAGAGCAGACGCTCTACCTGTTGTACTCGCCTAGTTCTATCTGAAGGGTTATATAGGATAGGGACAGAAAGAAGTGTGTGAAGCGCTGGAGGTTCGACCCTCCGACACTCCATTACTCCCAGACGGGAGTACAGTGTCATGACCCGGAGGTGGCATCGGGTCAGGAACAGGAAGAGAGTACCTTCTCCAGCTGTAGTAGAGCTCAGGTCCACCGTCAACCCTACAGCGTAGCTTGATGGAGCTGCCTGGCCGTACTGAGGACAGGTCCTTGGGCTCAGCCAACACTACCCGTGTCTCCTCTCCCACCCCTGCAACACAAGTGTCCATTTTTAAAATTGTGATGAAAATTTATTGAAGACGGGACGCCACAAGCATAGCTCTGTTCCTGTAGCTACGAATACGTAATTTAAAATAAGCAAATACACACGATGACAATGAAAATAGTTATGAGTTTACTACCATAGCCACGTATGTCCTCGCATCATTATATATATACGTGTATGTATGTATGTGTATGTGTGTGTATGTGTGTGTGTGTGTGTGTGTGTGTGTGTGTGTGTGTGTGTGTGTGTGTGTGTGTGTGTGTGTGTGTGTGTGTGTAATAACGAGGAATGAACTTATAATAGACATTAGAAATATATAAGCTTTAAAAAATGAATATAAATAAAGTAAATTAAGTCGGCCGACTGAAAATTAACACACAGTTCCAAGAACTGGAGTCCGACACAAAAATGGCATTAAAGTGGTGACGTCTAACACCCTCGGGACGAGACAACGAAATACACCTACCAGGTCAACTTCAACACGCACACATTTTCCAGATACGGTTTAAACGCCAACTCAAACTTACATCATATCTTGATTTTCTCATGCATAATATTAGCGGCTTGAAGCCTCACGGCTGACCTCACTGTATATTTGACGTCACGCAGGCAGGCTGTCCAGGACTTCTGGTCTTCCTGTGTCACTTCAATATACCTGGTTCCAGTTCTCATATATACCAAAAATTTGCATTAATTCGTATAATTTTATAAATTGAAAATATTTACCATGAACATTTAAAAAAAATATGAATGCTAAGCATATAAGTCAGCCGTGGTTTAGATAGATTCAGCATTTATTAATATTCAAGGGATATATACGCTAGTAAGTGTATATACCTCTCTCGGTGTGAGCATATATTTTTGTATATACACCGAGAAGTGAATGTTTGTGTATCAATGTTTAAGGGGTTAAAATATCCTTAGCATTAGCATACACTGTGTAGGTGAAAGGAAGCCTTAATGACCCACGTACAGTCGAGCTTGTAGGATATTCAGTTCCATGACGGAGCACCAGGAAGCTTTGATCCATCCCAGTTGGGTATTTTGTATTCCAAGAGCAAGACGGGGCCGCTCGCTTGGTGGACCAAATTTACAGCCACAATGCCTTTTCTTCCTCTGACGGCCATGGTAAACACTGCCAGAGTTTTCCTTGCATCGTTTGAGGACAAAATACGCGTCTGCTGAGAGAGAGAGAGAGAGAGAGAGAGAGAGAGAGAGAGAGAGAGAGAGAGAGAGAGAGAGAGAGAGAGAGAGAGAGAGAGAGAGAGACTTTCATTATTTGTCCTCAGAGTTCACGATTCGCTTATGTGATATGGTATACATAATTTTCTTGCTTTGGTTTTTCTAATTATCAACAGACTTTTCTATTGATATACAACACGTACTCAAAATACATAAAGTATGTTAAATACACGCATTCTAACACTGATCCTCTAGCTACAAATAGATAATTACAAATACATAAATACACTCACACAACGCACTCACACAATACACACTCACACATTACACACTCACACAATACACTCTCACAATACATACTCACACAATACATAAGAACGTAAGAAAGAAGGAACACTGCAGTACGCCTACTGGCCCATGCGAGGCAAGTCCATGTCACCCCCCGGCTTAGACCAATGACCCACCCAGTTAGGTCACATCCACTGAAGGAAGGAGTATAGTATCAGACCTAGTAGCACAAGCTAGTCAGGTCCAACTCACACCCACCCACACCCACTCATGTATTTATCTAACCTGTTTTTAAAACTACACAGCGTTTTAGCTTCTATGACGGTACTCGGGAGTTTCTTCCACTCATCCACAACTCTATTACCAAACCAGTGCTTTCCTATATCCTTCCTGAATCTGAATTTTTTAGCTTGAAACCATTGCTGCGAGTCCTGTCTTGGCTAGATATTTTCAGCACGCCATTTACATCCCGTATATTTATTCCTGTTTTCCATTCATGCACTTCAATCATATCTTCCCTAATTCTACGCCTTTCTAGAGAGTGCAGATTCAGGGCCCTCAGTCTATCCTCATAGGCAAAATTTCTGATACATGGGATCAACTTTGTCATCCTCCTTTGTACGTTTTCCAGTGCATTTATATCCATTCTGTATTACGGTGACCAGAACTGTGCAGCATAGTCTAAACGAGGTTAACCAAGGATATATAGAGTTGAAGAACCTGAGGACTTCTATTATTTATACTTCTAGATATGAAGCCAAGAATTCTGTTAGCTTTATTGCGAACACTAATGCGCTGTTGTCTTGGTTTTAGATCACTGCTAACCAGAACTCCCAAATTCCTTTCCGCAATCAGTAGCATTAAGATCTACATTATTTAGTGTATATGTGGCATGGTTATTTACCTGTCCAACATTTAGAACTTTGCATTTGTCTATATTAAAACTGCATCTGCCACTTCTCCGACCACTGCATCAGTCTATTCAAATCATCCTGGAGTGCTCTAATGTCTTCATTAGAATGAACTGGACGGCCTATTTTGGTGTCATCAGCAAATTTGCTTATGTCGCTATTTATTCCCTCATCTATGTCGTTTATGTAAATTGTGAACGACATAGATGAGGGAATAAATAGCAACATAAGCAAATTTGCTGATGACACCAAAATAGGCCGTCCAATTCATTCTAATGAGGACATTAGATCACTCCAGGATAATTTGAATAGACTGATGCAGTGGTCGGAGAAGTGGCAGATGCAGTTTGATATAGACAAATGCAAAGTTCTAAATACACACTCACACAATATACACTCACACAATACACACTCACACAATACACACTCACACAATACACACTCACACAATACACACTCACACAATACACACTCACACAATACACACTCACACAATACACACTCACACAATACACACTCACACATATACACTCACACAATACACACTCACACATTACACACTCACACAATTAAATACACAATGCACACTCACACAATACACACCCACAATACACACTCACACAATACACTCACACAATACACAACTCATCACAATGCACTCACACAATGCACCTCACACAATGACACAATCCTCACAATATCACATCACACAATGCACTTCACACAATGCACACTCTACACAATCACACTCACACAATGCACGCTCAACAATACACACTCACACAATACACACTCACACATAACACTACACAATACACACTCACATTAATACACATGCACCACAATAGCACTCACACAATCACCTCACACAATGACATCACTCACACCAATACAACTCACAAGCACTACACATCTCACACAATGCACACTCACACATTACACACTCACACAATACACCACAAATATACACTCACACAATACACACTCACACAATGCACACTCACACAATCACTCACACATACACACTCACACAATGCACACTCACAATCACTCACACAATACACACTCACACAATGCACACTCACACAATGCACGCTCACACAATGCACACTCACACAATCACTCACAACACACTCACACAATGCACACTCACATAATACACCTCACACAATACACACTCACACAATACACACTCACACAATGCACACTCACACAATACACACTCACACAATAACACTCACACAATCACACTCACACAATAACACTCACACATAACACAACTCACACAATCACACTCACACAATGCACACTCACACAATGCACACTCACACAATGCACGCTCACACAATGCACATCATCACACAATACACACTCACACAATGCACCTCACACAATGCACCTCACACAATGCACACTCACACAATGCACGCTCACACAATGCACACTCACACAATGCACGCTCACACAATGCACACTCACACAATGCACACTCACACAATGCACGCTCACACAATGCACGCTCTCACAATGCACACTCACACAATGCACGCTCTCACAATGCACACTCACACAATACACACTCACACAATACACACTCACACAATACACACTCACACATCACACAATACACACTCACACAATACACACTCACATCAAATACACACTCACACAATACACACTCACACAATACACACTCACACAATGCACACTCCACACAATACACACTCAACACAATCACACTCACACAATACACACTCACACAATACACACTCACACAATACACACTCACACAATACACACTCACACAATACACACTCACACAATACACACTCACACAATACACACTCCACACAATACACACTCACACAATACACACTCACACAATCACACTCACACAATACACACACTCACACAAATACACACTCACACAATACACACTCACACAATAACCACACATACACACAATGCACACTCACACAATGCATACTTACACAATACACATCCACAAACACACATCCACAACACACACACACACACACACACACACACACACACACACACACACACACACACACACACACACACACACACACACGCACACACACGCACACACATAACACACACACACACACACACACACAAACACGCACACACATACACACATCACACACACACACACACACACACACACCACACACACACACACACCACCACACACACACACACACACACACACACACACACACACACACACCTAGTGTACCCAGAAACGAATAATGTGTTCCCGATGAATGGTATATAAAAGTCTAATAAGCAATATGTATCGAAAATGCTGCGCCACAAGTTGATATGTGGCATCACTGAAAATACTTTAGATTGAGAATATAATAGAGTATATTGGGATCTCTGGGTGCGTGTCTATGGTGAGAGAATGAGAGTCAGACTTGTGCGTGCGAAGAGAATTCAACACTACCGGATATTAATTCCGAGAAGAATCCAATACCACAGCGAGGAATGTGTCGCACGAAGCCACGGTCATTGTGGCACACATATTCCCCCCTTCATATTTTAACATGTTTTAGCGTGACAGCTACCACGGTCGAG